GTTAGTAAGTAAGTAAGTAAGTAAGTAAGTAAGTAATGTTTATTTATATACCGCCTTTCACAGACAAGGGTCACAAAGCGGTTTACAATTGTTATTATTTTTTTGGGCACTTGTCCTCTCACTCCAGACAGAGATGGGAGCGGGGTCGCCGAACAGGAGGCGCATGCCAGATATATTGTACATATTTTTAGTGGTAGGGGAAACCGGAGCACCCGGAGGAAACCTACGCAGACACGGGGAGAACATGCAAACTCCACTCAGAAAGGCCCTGGTCCGACCGGGATTTGAACCCAGGACCTTCTTGCTGAGTTAATGGGAAAACTGAGTAGAACTAAGCCGATTAAAGCAGAGCCAAGCAGGGCCAAGCAGGGCCAAACAGGGCCAAGCTGGGCGGTGGAAACATGACTGCTTGTTCTTTGCTCCATGTTCTGAGTATAATGCTGTGTTGTGCCACAGTGTTACCTGTTCCACATGTACGTGGGCGTGCGTGCTGGTGGTGGTATTGGAGATGAGATCGAGGACCCGGCCGGCGACGAATATGAGCTGTACCGAGTGGTCTTTGACATCACCTTCTTCTTCTTTGTCATTGTCATCCTGCTGGCCATCATTCAGGGTAACTCGTATTACATTCATTTGTCACATCGTAAATATTCATGTGTTAAGAAACTTGTAAAATAAATCTTTTCATCTGATTAAGAGATTAAGAGTAAGAGATCCTTTGTTCGTCCCACAAAAGGATTACCCTAACCCACAGTGGGGAAATGTTAGTGTTGCATCACCAGTTACAGAACAGTAGGAATTAGGAGCACACAACACAGGATACATTATCTATAAAACTCTATACTACAAATAAAATATCATCTCTAACTTAAATCATATAAGAAGCAAGTAAAACATATCTGCACTTACTCATAACTAGTTTTGATCAAATACATGGAAACTATTTAGGCACAGGTTCTAACCATTGTTGTAAAGTATACCAAATGTTAATATGAACTTCCATCTATTCCTTAGGTTTGATTATTGATGCTTTTGGCGAGCTGAGAGACCAGCAAGAGCAAGTCCGAGAAGACATGGAGGTATTGTAACACTGTGATGTCACTTCATTCAACATTCTGCTCAATCACATTTGGACTTTTGAGAAATTGGATATTATAATGTTGTTTTGTCCTCAGACCAAATGCTTCATCTGTGGAATAGGAAGCGATTACTTTGACACGACGCCGCACGGCTTCGAGACGCACACGCTGGAAGAGCACAACTTAGCCAATTACATGTATGTCGTCCTGTCACACACTACAAATATATGTTTGACTTATTATGACGTTTTTCATGACGTGAGATTATTTCATCCAAAAATGTGGTTTTCCAAATTTAATATTTAGTCATTTGAAGTGAGAAATTGGTAAGTGATATTAGTTTTGATTGTTCTAAACTGAAATCTTCTACCTGAAAGCTCCTATAACATCACAATCATAACATACATTTTATTTTTTTTTTTACATTTAATGACACATTATGTAAAAACCTTTTGAGTTATACCGTTGTTTCTTCATTAAAAAGACCGGGAGTTGCTTTAGCTCCATCTGCTCTACTATGAGTTTCTCCTGGTACATGTACATAATTACAAAGTACAGTATATCAGATACAGATTTCTTTACTTAAAACTGGATATATCCATTTTTCCATTGATGGGCTTATTGTACCAGTTTAAGTCACCTCAGCATTTGTTTATAAATTATGCCCATATAAAAGTAAACCAAGACAGTAAATGAAATTAAAAATAGAGTAAATTAAAATTAAAGCTTGAGTAGTGTGAGGTAAAGGGATACTTTTAATGTTGTTGTCACAAACAGGAAAGAAGTCTGCTTTATTTGGGGTAATGAGGATTTAACATTCTTAAAAAATAAAGTAAATAATAAGGGATAACATTTAGACACAAACTGCTCAATAATTTCAATCCATTCTACTTTTTACAAGCCACTATTTATATATGTTTACAGAACGCATGCTCACCTTTTAAACCGTCTCCTTTAAGGTTCTTCCTGATGTATCTAATCAATAAAGATGAAACGGAGCACACAGGACAGGTGAGCATCTTTCTACAGAGTCCAAACCAACTGTGAGACGTCTCTAATCTCTCGCTCCCCCACAACAGGAGTCCTATGTGTGGAAGATGTACCAGGAGCGATGCTGGGACTTCTTCCCGGCTGGAGACTGTTTCAGAAAGCAGTATGAGGATCAGCTCAGTTAAACCGATCCAGCCCACCAGACCAGACCCTGACAAAGTCAATCGATTGTCCCACTTTTTGCTGCGCATGTTTCTCTCCTCCGTTGAAGCTATGCACACGTCGACTGCACTGTTGCACCAGCTGAAACGGGATATTGACCGAGCAGATTTGAGAAACATAAACACCAGAAGCCGAGAACGCAGTCTGGCTTTGTGTGCGTGTTTTATCCCCAACATCGGCTGCGTTGCATATCAGATGTTTCGTAGACTGGGCTCTTTGCTGCTGTAAACGTTCTAGTGCCTATAGCAATGTCACTGCTTTAGCTTTTAAACACTTTAGATTTAGCTTTTGTTTTAGAATACAACTTATTTATTCTGTTGGGGGACTTTCGACGCGGCCGCTGCCACTTGAAATCTATGTGCGATTACCGACAAATATTGCCGCAACGAATGCAGCCATGAAGTAGCATTTGTCCGACACTTTGAAAGTACTTTAAAGGGGGACATAAAGTGCACAACTGGCCGCTCACAGCTCTTCGACCATGTTATAGTTAGTATACCTCTGTCGATGTACGTGTTTAAAGTTGTTTTTTGAAGTAATTCATGCATGTTTGAGTTGTGTTTGAGAGACTGCTGATAACGCCATTGCTAACCATCATTTAACATATTTTTACTTACTTTTTTCCCGCCAATTTTCTTTTCTAAATCCATGACATGCAGATGACTCGATCGTTTTCACTGCACATGCATTTTCTGCTCATTGGGAAAAGCATTCTCTCATTTTCTAACTTAATCTGAGCAAACGGAGCCGTACATTGAGGCTGAATACGTCACTTTTATTACATTGTCTTAATAAATATCGAATTTCAAACATACAAAATATTTAATAATGAATCACGATTGTCATAGGTTGGCACTATATTATGCAGAAGCACGTTATGTCTTCTTTAGGATCTTTCATGCGAGTTCTTAGCGGGGATGACCTGCCCTCAAAAAAAACATATTCAAAGCAACACTTACCAGCATCGACCACATGCACCAGTGTGAATCCACTCTTAAGTCTTACAATGCATCTCAATAGGTGTGTGCGCCCATCCGCCAGCTTTCATATGAATATACTCACACGAGAGGAAGATTATTTTTATTTTATAGTTTTATTGCGGTTTCTTTAGAGCGTCCTGAAAAGCACTGAATGTATTTAATAAAAACTAGGCCAAAGTGTTGTGAGAAACGTCAGAGGAGATGCCTTTTGAAGCAGAGACATATTTTACATACATCATATAGATATATTTATTTTCTTTGAAGAGTTTAAACGATAATAAACGACATGTTCATTATGTTTGTGAGCATTATAAAGGGACGTTTCTGACTCACCACAGTCAGAGGCAAAAGACTTGTTTTGCTACTTAGGTTTTTATGATAGATATTTTTAGGACGCCTGTGTTCACTGTATTGATGTGTGACGTGTGGATCTGGGGCCGTTTTGTCGCCTCCTTCACAGCGCACTCATTTGTCCCTTGTATTTTGTCAGTTGTATTTTTGCAAAGGCAGAGCATCGAGCTCACGGATATCTGAAATGTGTGTTGTTGTAGTTCACTCACTGTACTGAGTGGAAATGTGGATTTTCACCTCACGGAGTGTCCTCTGACTGAAACATGTCCTTCAAACACAATAAAAGGTTATTTTAAGGGTTTTATGTGGTTGCGTTTGTTATTATTTTTCACTATAAACTACTTTGAAACACACATACACGCACACACACACAGGTCCAGGACAATACTGAACAAATCTTTATGAAATCCATACTTTTTAGAATAAAAAATTGACATTCCGTTCCAGAGAAAGAAAGTGCTTTGCGTTTTGTGTGTGTGCGGTCGTTGTAATGAGACAGTGAGGGAGGGGTCTTCCATTGGATAGTGATGCCGTCAGGAGAAACTTCTCTTTTACGTAGATCTGTCGAGAAAAGTGAGTGACACCAGAAGAGAACGGAGAATTTCACAGAACAAAATAGTCAAACTAATGGCTGTCATCTCACTCCCACACCACATGAAAACAAGTTTTTCTGACAGTTTAATTGGGGTCAGCTTTATTCATAATGAACATGGGAGGAGCACTACTGTATAAGTCAAGGTGCTGATGGTCTGGGAGTCAAATTATAAGCCAGTAAATCCAGATAAACTACTGAATTACTATATTTGCCTAATAAGATAATACATTGAAATATTTAATACATTCATTTAAGATGTATTTTTAACACTTGAACATGGAAATAAAACTATAGTAGTGCTGATCTACAGCCTGTTCTTCTAGTCCAGAGAACTGGGATTTACAGAAAGACTCGTTATTTTCTTTATCTACAAGATCAGTTTTAACATGCAACACCTACAGATCTTGTGTGACTATGGGTCCATTGTTGCACTTGCATCATCAGGTGGTTCAGACACGGTTCACTCGTGTTTGCTGTAGGATGGACTGAATATTTTATGATTTATAAACCAGTGTTCTAATATTTTGCTCCATTTTGTTCAAACCTCTCAAAGCATTAAACATCATTCCTACACAACAGTTACAGTCATTTCAGACAGCTCCACTCCCTCTGAGCACCAGAGCAGAGGTCAAATGTGTGACACAGAACAAACATGCGGACAAAGGGCTGGGTGAGTGTGCTGAGCCCTCCTCTTCACCTGCATAAAGCACAGACTGTAGAAGAGGTATAAAACCAGAGCTGGGACTGAAACCTCCTCCTGAGGTCCATCCTTCCACTGCAGCCATGGCTTTTGTTGCACCTCCTGGTTACCAGCCCGTCTACAACCCTGTAAGTATGTGCATTGGAAATACATGGAAAAGAGTATACCTCATATTTATGTAAACTATGCAAGGATAAAAAAGTATATTGTACTGGAGCCATACAGATTTTTTTGTTCACCACAGAGTGATGGGCTTAAAACATATTGTACAAATAAAAATGTGTCTGAGGCATATTTGACATTCAGAAAAGAACCCTGTCTGTCTGTTCTGTCATGTTCAACACAGAGTATTCCATATCTGGGGCCCATCTATGGAGGCCTTCAGCCGGGATCCTCCGTCTACATCCAGGGCTCCACGCCTGAGGACATGACCAGGTAAAGACCGGCTTTGGGGAGAGGGCTAATGAAAAAGGTGCCTCTCTCGTCTGGTGGCGGCCCGGCTTTAACTTGGATTGATTTAAACGTTGTTTTTAGGCCTGGATATTTATACAGTTTGAATTAAACTTTACTGTTACTTTACTTTCCTAAGTTGCAAGCTATATGTGTGTGGGGAGGCAAGTTTTCTCACTGTAAAACAAATAAATCAAGCCCTAAAACCCTTCACATTTGGCAGATATCAGACTAGTTCACAAAAGACGCAGGTTACCACCAGAAAAGTTGCAGAATGCACCTTTAAAAAACATACATTTATAACATATAGTTTCAACATCTTACAACAAGCAGCAACAATAACACACAAGCTATATTAATAGAGCTGCCGTACGCATTCTGATTCATTCATTTTAGTAAGCAATATCTGAAATGATGCAACATTTATTCAGGGAGGTGTAGTATCACTTGTTTCTCTCCCATTGTTTTCCTTACAGACTCTAAATCAAATCAAACATTGTGCCTCGCCTGTTTGAACTTGCGCCATCAGTCAAAGTGTTTTATTGTGGTTGTCAGGTTTAGAGTGAACCTGCTGTGTGGCCAGACTGAGGACAGCGACATCGCCCTCCACGTCAACCCTCGCTTTGATGGCTGGGACAAAGTGGTCTTCAACACCAAGCAGGATGGCTCTTGGGGCGACGACGACAAGATCAGGAAAATGCCCTTCCGCAAAGGGGAGAACTTTGAGTTGGTCATCCAAGTCACAGCTGAGGGCTACAATGTAAAGGCCTCCAAAAGTTCTATGAGTGTGCTTTATATATCATGTGACATTGAGATTCCTTTTTTTGACAGATTAAAGTCAATGGTCAGGACTTTCACACATTCGAACACCGGATCCATGTGGCAAAAGTACAAGCCATTCAGGTCGCAGGAGACGTGAAAATACAGACCATCAATATCATAGGGGTAAGAATGAATCTGTGTGGACTAAAACTTACTACCCTTTTATCATTGTATCTCTATCATTCATCTATCTTTCATTTCTTGCCATTTATTTTAGGGAGGTATGGGCGGAGGGTGCCCTGGAGGTGACATGGGGGTACGTATAATATCACAATATCAGGGCAGTGCCAATAATCAAAAAATTGGAAAAAATGTGGTGATCTCAGCTTTTCTCAATCAATATTACAGTAAAAGGAAGAGACACCAATCATGGGGCTGAAAATGAGAACTTTAGATATTGAAATGTTTGGATATTTCATGAGAAACTATAGTGTTAAGAATAAGGAAAAAATTGCCCTTTATCAGCCACTTTTATTCCTCCATATGCTCCTGTCTAGAATTAAACAATATTAAATAGATTAATGATAAAAAGATCGTTCAATGCCGCAGATGGCCCACTACAATAATTACAAATGCTCTGTTGCTGCTGTTGAATACATACATACGTTTTTGGAACACTTTTATATACTGGTTCAGCTGTTTCCTTAATTTTTTGCGATTGATTCAATACTATTTACTGGCTCATATGAAGCTTGAATGTTATTGGACTTCAAGGTTTTAATTCATACAAATTTGTTCTGTAGTTACTTGTAGAATAATTATTTAACAAAAAAACACACAATTTGAAACGGTCGAAAAGGCTATTTTCAGTCCCAAAGACATGATATGATGGATTGGTGCTTCCCTTGTATAACTATTTGTACTATATGTCTCTTTCTATATTGAATTTAACTTTGACTTTTTTTTTTCTCTTTCCCATTCAGGGCGGATACCCAGGAGGCAACATGGGGGTATGTCATGAGCTTGGGAGACAAATGACCAGAGATGTTGTTCTTTTCTATCTACATTTGTGCATTAGATCACAACCATTCAAGCATATTATAATTGAATCTTTTCTACAGGGAGGGTATCCAGGAGGCAACATGGGGGTATGTCATGAGCTTGGGAAATAAACGACCAGAGATGTTGTTCTTTTCTATTTAGATTTGTGCATTAGATCAACCATTGTAGCATATTTTCATTGAAACTCTTTTACAGGGAGGGTATCCAGGTGGAAACATGGGGGTAGGTTACATAAAGTAATCCTTGAGTGAAATGAATGTGTGCATTGTTAAAATAATTGTTCTTTTTGCTCCAGGGAGGAGGATATCCAGAATCATGTCTACCTGTAAGATTTACACAGCACTATTAAGACTTTTATGAGTTACTTTTACTTAAACATTAACCTTTGATTTCAGGGAATGGGTGGACAGCCTGTGCACAACCCTGTGAGTATAATTAAGAAATGCTTTGGTTTTTTTCGCCATTAACATGTTTTGGGATGTGAAATAAGTCTAAATTAAAAGCTATATGGTGAAACAAGTCTGAAGTGTAACAAATGCTTTCTGCCTGTAACTCCCTATGCTACCACCAGAGGGAGGAGCTCAATTTCTTTAGCTTTTTCCATATTTGTAAATCTCCAGATAATGCAGATAATTTATTTTCGCCAGAGAAATTACCAAAAATTATCTATGGGCACTACTTTTTTTGAAGACAGAAACCTGCTCTGAGTGTGACGTCATATTGGTACAATGACATCACACTATTACAGGACTAAAATGCAGGTTTTTAGACAGAAGAGGTGGAGTTACAAGTTTTTGACAGATATTAGAATGAATGACTTTTTAGTGTTTATATTGAGGAACAACACGTAACATGACAAAAAAAACATGACAAAAAAAAAGTAGTTTTTGAATCATTCGTCTCCAGGACGAGAAAACACTTTAGCCTATATAGCTAAATGGCACACAAGAATCAGAATCAGAATCAGAATCAGAATCATTTTTATTGCCACGTAAGTAACAGGAGGTCACAGACTTGGAAATTGCTTTGGCTCAGTGCAACAGTCAGAAAGAGATAATAAAAATAAAGAATAAAAAACACTTCTAAAGGATAAATTTAAATTTAAAATAGAGTTAAATTACTATATACAATATACAAGTGCACATGGTGCACACAATGTAAGGTGACAGCAGTACAGTGAAGTAAAGTGACGTATGATGGGCAGTAAAGTGACTTTATAAAGGGCGGGGGGACAGGTTAAGAAGTGTTCAAGAGTCCAACAGCAGAGGGGAAGAAACTGTTCTTGTGGCGGGAGGTTCTAGTCCTGATGGACCGCAGCCTCCTGCCTGAGGGGAGTGGTTGGAATAGTCCATGTGCAGGGTGAGAGGGGTCGGCTGTGATACCACCAGCCCGGCCTCGAGCTCGGGCGACGTACAGGTCCTGCAGCGATGGCAGGCTGCGGCCGATCACTTCCTCTGCAGAGCGCACAATGCGCTGTAGTCTCTGTTTGTCCCTGACTGTGGCTCCAGCGAACCACACGGTGATGGAGGAGGTGAGGATGGACTCGATGATGGCCGTGTAGAACTGCACCAACATCTGTGCAAGCAGCTTGGCTTTCCTGAGCTGCCGCAGGAAGTACATCCTCTGCTGGGCCTTCTTGATGAGGGAGCTGATGGTCGGCTCCCACTTGAGGTCCTGGGTGATGGTGGTGCCCAGGAAACGGAAGGACTCCACAGAGGTGATGGGGGAGTCCATCACGGAGGGTGGGGGGGGGGGACAGTGCTCTTCCTGAAGTCCACAATCATCTCCACTGTCTTCTGGGCGTTCAGCTCCAGGTTGTTACCACTGCACCAGGACACCAGCCGGTCCACCTCCCTCCTGTAGGCGGACTCATCGTTGTTGGAGATAAGTCCAATGAGGGTGGTGTCGTCCGCGAACTTGATCAGCTTCACGGAGTCGTGGCTGGAGGTGCAGTGGTTGGTGTACAGGGAGAAGAGCAGGGGAGAAAGAACACAGCCCTGTGGGGCTCCTGTATTTATAATCCGAGAGTCCGAGACATTCTTCCCCAGACGCACTCGCTGCTTCCTGTCTGTCAGGAAGTCAGTGATCCACCTGCAGGTGGAATCGGGCACGTTGAGCTGGGAGAGCTTGTCCTGGAGCAGGGATGGCAGGATTGTGTTGAAGGCAGAGCTGAAGTCCACGAACAGGACCCTGGGCCAGAATATTCAACTATTCTTGGGCAATTTATAAAGATTTTGTCACATGCACATGTGAATCGCCTCCTTCAAAATTGGAGGATTTTTTTTTTTCACTCAACAGAACTAAACCAGGAACAATTGTTTTGTTTTTCTATTTTACTTAACCCAGAATTTATCAGCTGGATATGGAGGCCACTGGGGCACTAATGGCATTTCTGTCTCTGTAGCCTGTGCCATATCAGGGCATGATTCCTGGAGGACTGTCTGCCAAAAGGACAATCATCATCAGAGGCCTGCTGCCTTTTGGTGGCATAAGGTGAGTAGAAAACAAACTGAAAAGTATTGAAGAAGATGGCATAGTCTGGGATCGCGTCTTACATTCAGACAGAAGACATGTTTTATTGTCAATGGTAGAGACAGCACGAACAAAGCACACGATCACAGATACAATAGAATGCAAGTGTATTATACAGAGCAGAGGCATGGAGACCTCCAATCAGCAGCTTCCACAGTGTGCTTGTAGCTTGGCCTTCAGATAGACAAAACAAGGGAAAAGTACTGGCTTCTGCACATTGATAGAATGATGAGTTTAACTTTAACAAAAGTTGCTTAAAAGTGTTATGAAATCTCACAGTATTTTGCCCAACTGAACTGAACTCTAGTGCACAAAGTATAGATTTTATAGGCTTTCTTCGTTGACATTTGAATGCACCAAACAGTTCAGTGATGTTATGAGGACGGTTGCTTTTGCGTCTGTGAATGCACCATCACAAACTGTTGCTTTTGTAAATGTTTCAGGATGGCCATAAACTTTGTGGTGAGCAAAACGAATGACATTGCTTTCCACCTGAACCCACGAGTGAAGGACAGGACTGTGGTGAGGAACAGTAAGATCGGAGGCAAATGGGGCAAAGAGGAGCGGGAACTCAAATGCAACCCCTTCATGGAGGGAGAGTACTTTGATGTAAGTAAACCAGTCAAATTGTACTTTTTTTGTCAAATAAATTGTTGTTATTTTCATGTTTTGGTCAAATCGATTAGTAAAAGTGATTGATTTTTTTGGTCAAGTGAGGCAAAGTCTTGTTCTTTTTAAGATTAGATTCAGATTCAGATTCCGATTCAGATTCCGTTTATTTGCCATTTGCAGTAAAAAAACACATTGGAATACGTTAGCAAAAAGTCACCAGTGTGCACAGACAAATACAGACATAAAACAACATTAAAAGTACAGAAATAAAAAATATAAAACAGTAAACAAATGTCACTGTGAAATCGATCGGCTAAAACAGTTTCAAAACAAGTGCTAATAATTAAAGTGCTCTGTTCAAACTGATAACAGCCTTTGGAAAAAAGCTGTTCGCATAACGAGATGTCCTGCATCTCAGAGAACGATATCTTCTGCCAGAAGGAAGAAGCTGGAACATGGCTTTCCCAGGGTGGCTAGAAGAGTCATTAACAATCCTAAGAGCTTTGTTTAAAAGTCTGGATTTATAAAGAACCTCCAGAACAGGAAGCTCACAGCCCACGGTCCTCTTTGCAGAGCGGAGCACCTTGTTTAACGCTCTCTATTCTTTATCTGTGATGTTTCCAAACCACACAGACACAGAACCAACAAGTAAACTCTCAATGGTGCAGCGATAAAAGTTAAGCAGAATCTTAGAGTTAGTGGTAAATTCTCTAAGTTTACGCAGAAAGTAGAGACGCTGACGAGCTTTCTTAACGACTCGGTCAGTGTTTTTAACCCATTTCAGGTCGTTAGACAGAGTTAAACTCAGAAACTTACACTCCTCTACAATCTGCACCTGGGAGTTGTCGATAACTACAGGAGTGTGACAACTGTTACGACTGAAGTCGAAGACCAGCTCACATGTTTTGAATGCGTTCAACTGGAGATTGTTAGCTTTACTCCACTGAACCACATTTTGTATCTCTGCTCTATAAGAGGATTCATCATTATCACTGATGAGACCGATGATGGTGGTGTCATCAGCATTATAAACGCTTTTTTGGGAAAACGTAATGCCACCATATATTTATACACATATTGTTGGCCCTAATAATCTGTCTAATTTCCAAAAACAAATTCCTGACCTGTGTCAAGAAGATTTAAATTTTTCCAGGTTTCCAGGTCCAAGACTTTTCCAGGTTTTCCATGACTGTATTAACCCTTTACATTGTATTGACACATTTCCATTTTCAGATCAAACTGAAATTGGTAGAAACAGTCCAAGAGGGAGAAAATGGCAAAATACATGAATACATTTTATTGGATGGATCTTGAATTGTATTTTAAATCACATTCCTCTCTTTTGTTTTGCAAATCCAACACTTCTAAGCCATTGAAACTGGCTCCATCAAATGATACACCCTTGTAATGAAGACTGTATTTTGTCTATTGATTAATTCAGCTGTAAATTCCCTTTAACTTTTTTATCAGATGTCGATCCGCTGCGGAAATCAAAAGTTTAAGGTGTTTGTGAACGGTCAACACGCGTTGGACTTTTCTCACCGAACAAAGTTGTTCAATGAGGTCGACCGACTGGAGATCGAGGGCGATGTGCAGCTCTCCTACATCCAATTTTGAGCAACGGAAAATAGATCCATAGATGCATCATTACACTGTTAATAAAGCAGTCTCAACAATCATCTTTTGTGCCAAATTATTTAAACGCACACACACACACAGCAAGAAATAAACCCAATTATCCTCTAGTAGTTCCTATTTAGTCAGAGGAACCTCCCCGGCTCCAGTCACGCTGTCAGTGTGCCCCAGGGCAGCCGTGACCACAGTAGCAGAAGGCTATCCCCATTGTGTATAGAGTGAATGAATATTGCCACATCTTCGAGTTTCCAAAAAGCGCTATATAAAACCGTCCATCCATCCATCCATTTTCTTCCCCTTAATCCATTTCTGGGTCAGGGGGGTGGCAGTCAGAGCTGCACCCAGTACACATAGCACCAGCCCCTCACTGATCCTCCTGCAGGTGGTGAGTCCACAGGAGCTGAGATCTTTCAGCGGGGGCTTCAGGTAAAGTTGGATTAAGTGTCTTGCCCAAGGACACAACGACAGCAGTCATCAGTGGGAGTCGTGAAGTAGGTCTTATTTCACGACTCCCACTGATGAGTCACTAATAAAATCACTGATATGCACTAAATCATGTCAGTGATTTTGCACAAAACATACAAAACCGATGCATTATTATTATATTATGTGCATTGGCTTTAAATAAAGATTATTTATTTACTTCTTACTATTATTATCATTATAGATGCATCACTGAACTATTTGTTAGGTGTCAATGCTCAAAAAAAAGCTATCAGGATTCAAACAAAGTTTGAGTGTACAAAACCCCTAAATGACTGGAAAATAACATAGAAATAACACGAAACACATTTATTTCATATACAAAAAGCTGCAAGTATAAAAACATAATACAAATGGCAGTATAAATGTAACTATATACATCTCCCGACAAACACACTGTGAAAACCACTAAACACGGACAATACTGGCTCTCTGAAGGCACTTGGAACGTTTGGAAGCTCATGCAAAAACTGTACAAGAAGAAAGAAAGTGATGTGGTCAAAGAAAAGTTAGCACAAAAGTATCAAAAGTGTCATTCATTCACTCTAGACCAGTAGAGCTCAGTGCTTTCATCAAATGCAAAGTCAAGGCTGCAAGTATATTTTATAGACAGTATGGACATATACACAGGGGAAATCAACTGTTGACTCAGTGGTAGAAAATATAATGGTCCATAATTGACAAAAAATGTATTATTATGGATTGTTCATGAATTATTGTCCTGAGTTTCATATTTGGCTGAACAGTTTACAGCCACATTACTCAAAGCACATATAACATACAGTCAGGTACATATATATTGGAACATAGATTTTTCTTTTTTACATTTTTGGCTATATTCTCCATCACATTGGATTTTAAATATTAATAATATGTTCCTTAGCTAGAGTTCATTTTAGCGTATTTGCATCTAAATGGAGTTACTGGTACGGGAATTATATACTGTAATATTACTACTATTATTGTTATTATTATCATTATTATGTTATTATTAATGTCTCCCAGTTTTGAAGGGGGAAACTACCAGGACAATCCATAGTGGACGTCATACATAGAAACTGTTGAAATACCTACAGCATTCACCTGATTTATATGTAAATACCAAAACTAGAATCAATACCACATCTTAAATCCAAAGTGAGGGTGTAAACAGCCACAAATATTTCAATTCTATAGATGTCCCATGTATTAAAAAGGAGTAATACAAGTCAACAATTAATTTCTACAGTACCATCACCACCTAATAAGAGTTTTCTTCTCACGTGTGTGGTCAACAAATCTCATGGGCAATACAAACAAAAACACATTTTTAATTAAGTGCTATAAAGCTGCTTAGGACTGTTTGAAGAAGTTCCAACAGCCCTAAAGGCCAGAGCAGAACTGGACTGGATGTGGTCACTTGTCAGACTCAGCTTTTGAGTGGGAAAAAGCGCTTTCGCTCGGCCTGAATATGTGTCGACAAAATGAAATAATTCATGTACAGTATATAAAAAAAAAAAGTAAACATGTACATTTAAGACTTAGAAACATTAGTGCAAAATCATATCAGCAAAACAAAAAAGTGTGTATTAATAACACTGTGCTTTGTCAAAGGCATCAGACGTCTGCTTGTGGTCACGGTCTCCAAACCGTATGTGTCTCTGTGGACTAGTACCTGTGGTCGGGCTGCAAGATTGAACGCAATTGAATCGAAATTGCGATTTAGGTGATCTCATTTAGCAAATCGCAATTCAGTTCATTTTACCATCAGTTACTCTTCATATGGTAAAGATATGTTTTTGTTGCCTGCACTGGTTGGACCTGGCCATGCTTCCTGAGTGAATTAACAATATTATGCCAAGGGGAGAGACTATAGCAAATATGTGATAATAATATCTAAACAAAAAAAATCATATTATAATACAGTACAGGCAGGGGTCAGATGGTGTGAAAATATGCATTCCTAAAAAATCTCAATGAATTGCTTAGTTTTTTCTCAATGTATGGGTGTCAATAAAAAAGTGTGAAGAGAAACTACACCATAATTTCTCAATAGTAAAACAAAGAAAATCTTGCATGGCTCTGGTAAAATGGCACAGTGGAAGGAGCGCTGGTGTGTACCGGTGCACACTGGGATAGTCTTGCACAGTTTCTCCAATGTGGTTTTACTGAAAATGGCAAAACTAAATTCTTGAATCTTAAAAATTCTCTGCTATTTGAAAATTCATCGAAAATTCATCGATATTGTGCCGAAATGGTTCAGCCCCTCGTACCTGCTTCAACACACATCAACATTGACTATAGAGCAGGCTGGGAAATATAGACAGAGATTCACAGCCCTTTTGGTAAATAAAAGCATGGTTATAAAAATATGACAGGGAAATGCAAATTCAGATCATGGTCTATTTTGTCCTGAGGTTTAAACGCTTCATGGCAGTGCGCGGCTGGATTCACTGAGGCTCACTTTCCTTTGTGATGAGAAATCGGTAGCTACAAGTGCTGAAAGGAACTGATTGTCCAGCAGTGTGTCCTCTCTCTCCAGTGAAAATCATCCGAAGATTCAGAGGTGTCCAAGAGAAATACAACAGATATTCAACGTCTCCCAAAATGGCAGCTCGTACTGTATCTGCAGCGATCTGTTTGTTCTGTGGTCCAAGAGAGAAGCCCTTTTAAAGCTGGGGTACCTAACTTTAAAACCCACAAAACATGGAACTGTAATGAAATGCATGTCACTCGTAGCGCGTTCTCAAAACAGCTTGGTTCTATCACTAGGCCTCGGTTACATCTTTAGATTGGCCTTTTCAGATGGAAGGGAAAAACAGAAACGCCCCCACCCTCACTCAGCCAATCAGCTCTCAGCTCAATACAATACAATACAATACAATTTATTCTTGTATAGCCCTAGGTCACAACAGAAGTCATCTCAGAGGACTTAACAAAACCATTGAAATCACCAACACAGGTCAGAGAATCAACAGAGTCATACTCAAAGAGTCATACAGTAACTCACAGGGCTATTTCTTACTATTCTACTCCCTACTTCACGGGGCTATTTCTAAAGTATGCAAAAAATACAATGTTTTCTGATAAAATAGCATATTGTGGTCTGATTTTACTTATAACTATATTTATACTTATAAGCTGTGTGGAGTCATCTTCATTTTTTCATTGGACTATTTTCAACTTTTTGCACGCACTCAGACTTGGATGTGCGCGTCCAACTCCCTCTTGCTTTGATTTTACTTATTTTCTTTCTGTTGGGGACAAACCTCAATGTATTTTACAGTATATAGAATGAAAAGTCAGGTACCCCGGCTTTAAACATACTGTAGCAGCGTGGAATGCCTGTGGCGGTGCGGGTCAGGGCAGTTCTGTGCAAAAGCTTTTCAAAAAGGGGCACGTTGTGTTTACCAGTCTCTAAAGTCAGTCTGGATACGGGCACATCGGCAGTAACAGTTCATGATAGTTCATTGTTATTGCCATTCACTACCAGGCCACCCTCCTGTCTCTGTCCTCCGTGGGGGTGGGGGCCCGGGTCAGGTTCGGCGTGGAGTGGCAGGACGGCTGAAGCGGCAGGGTGGCGGTGGAAGACGAAATGTGCATGTCCAGACTCTCCATAGAATCACAAAGGGCCCGGTTGGTCTCGTGCTGCGGGCAGAGGACGTAGCGGTTGGGGTGGTGCACTTCCACTGTGGTGACGGAGTCCAGGCCCTTCAGACCCAGAGAGGGGGGGCCGGCGTTAGGGTCACGGCCGCCCACCGCTCCCAGCTCCATGGACGGCTCATCCATGTTGACGTAGAGGATCTCGTCGGGGTCCTGGGGGTCCGGCAGGTCGTCCAGGGCCTTCTCCAGCTCACAGCGCAGCGTCTCGAAGGAGGGCCGGTCTTTGGGGCTCAGGAGCCAGCACGAGAACATGAGGGAGTAGCTGAAAGAAAGAGGATTGTCTGTTTAGAAATGAATCATGTTGGACAAACAGCCAAGGCAAGGTTATGTGTATGGCACAGTTATGTAAATTAGATCTTAGGTCACATGTTTTCAAAGATTGTATACATTCTACAATATATCTTTTTTTATCGAAATTGTTTATGCTAAAAATGTTAGTGCTAAATAATGTGTTCGGTTCATAAACAAGGCAACTCAAAATGCTTATCGAAACAAGATAGAAATATTCATACAAGACACTCAAATATTAAATAATCACGATATATTAAAAAAGAGTTAAGATACAAACCCTCAATTATAGACACAGTGTAACAGAACAATTTCAATCTGGATTTGAACATTGTCAGAGTAGAAGCACGTCTCACATTTTCAGGAAGACTTTTAGATTTTGGCCTCCCCATGTTTGCTGCAGTGGCTTGCAAAAGTATGAATACAGCGTGAACGTTTTCATTTTTTAAAGACCACAACAATGTAGCTAAAGTAAAATTATAAACCTATAAGTGGGGCTTGCATGTGTTCATATCCGGGTCGAGGGTTTTTGTATCTAAATTGCAAATTAGTATTTCCCTTATGATTGAGTAGCCTCAGAGCTATGTTTAGAGCTATGTTCATTTTATTGGTCACTAAACAGCATGACAAAGTTCAACGAGGTCTGGGATAAAATTGTGGAGAAGTTTAGAGTAGTATTATACAACGATTTCCCAAGCTTTGAACATTTCACAGAGCACTGTTCAATTCATTGTGGTTTTGTTACTTTTGCAAACCCGCCGGTGTAAATGTAATAAAAGGCAATTACAGGTGCACTACGATTCTCATGGGATCTGTGAGCTGCTTGTGGCTACGGAGATGTTACAGTATTTCTTTACCTGGAATGTCCCTCAGTATCATTAAAACATGTACAATCTTTCATGTGTTTTACGCTACTCCAAAACCAGAATTATTGTAATAGGTTGGCTCTCTTCTCCGCAGATTGGACTCGTAACTTAGACTAGTAAAGTTGCTTGGCACTAAAGTAGAAATACTTAATGCCACACTGTGAAGCATTCCAGGGAAAAAATAAGCATAGTTGGCCTCAAGAAAAAAGCACACCATTCATATTGTAAATCGTGTTATGTCTCTTTATGGATAGGATTTTGACCATAACTGTAAAAGTGAAAATATCTTTGTTGTTACTTGTTAACCAGTTCCATACTTTGACAACAATGAAAAACTGAAAGAATCCCTTTTATTTTTCCTACAAGGATAAATATGTAAGTGTTGGGATGTGGTGATATAGTAAACATTAGTATGAAAAATTACACCAGAAATGTCACACTATTGGTAATGTGTTTCAAAGCTGCATTTGACAAATGAGTGACAATGAGACATTTTCACTGCAAAAGAAAAAAGGTCAAATTCCACCCAGGCATGTCTTGGTTTCTATCGAGATAAACCAGCATTTTGAACCTACATGGGTTAAAGTTGAAAAAATTCCTGAGCCTGAACCATCTATATGAATCATAGAATGATCACTAATAAGCGTTTTTTATAAGCGCCTTTATACGCTCATACATATAATTTATATCTATTTAATGCCAACAACTGATGTTTATTATAAACATCAGTTGTTGGCAATAAATACATCATCCAGGGGTTAAAGCAAAAAAAAAAGATTTGACTGAAAATTTTCTCATGGAAATATAATGAATTACAGATCAAACGAATTGTATGGTCCAAAACATGCAACAGCCTAATGTGGTGGATATTGACCCACGCGTGTAAAAACTTAAGAAAAACTGAGAAAATTAAAGCTCTTTGTTATTTATTTTCAAAGGAAAAACACTGCAAACAATACAACACGGTGGAAAATATTAAAGGCTCCTCCACCTACACTGTCACAAAATCAAAAAGAACACAGGTGTGCTAATAACCAGAACAGGTGCCATGATGAGCCTGAGCCACAGCAGCCACAGCACCATCCAGTGGCAAAAAACAGAAGAGCAGCATGGGCTATACAATTCCGGCCCCTAAGTGTTTTATTTTTTTTTTTTTAAATGAAACAATTACAAACAACTTAAATTCATTTATAGGTGCTCTAGCAGCAGACACACCTTTGTTATGGGTCGGACAAGATCGCTAGTTTTGGTCTTTACCCTTACGGTACGAACAAGACCAAACCTGTCTGGTATGGTTTGAGTGATCCTGCCCATAACCCACGAGTTACGGGGTGCAGATTCGTCCACCAGTAAAACTACATCCCCAACAGAAAAATTCCTTTTAACCCCGGCCCATTTCTGACGCACTTGGAGTTCTGGCAGGTACTCCCGGATCCACCTTTTCCAGAACAAGTTGGCCATATACTGGACCTGTTTCCACCTGCGTCGTGCATAGAGGTCCGAGCCTTCAAAAAGTCCTGGAGGTAGCAGTGGTTGGGTTTTCAACAACAAGAGGTGGTTGGGAGTTAGGGCCTCCAGGTCATTGGGGTCGTTGGTGGGGGTAGTGATAGGACGACTGTTAAGAATAGCTTCTGCCTCACAAAGGAAGGTCTGAAGGCCTTCTTCATCCAGGGGTTGTGTCCGTAAGGTGGCGTTAAGGATTCCCCGAATGGACCGAATCAAGCGTTCCCACACGCCCCCGTGGTGTGAGGCTGAAGGGGTGTTAAACAACCAGTTAATGCCCTTTTGTTGTAGGGTGACTTGAATCCTTTCGTTGTTCCATTGTTGCAGTGACCTCTTTAACTCTCGATCAGCCCCAACGAAGTTTGTCCCGTTGTCGCTCCTCAACTCCTGAACTTGGCCTCGTCTTGATATAAATCGCCGCAAAGCGTTTATGAACGAATCAGTGTCCAATGAGTTAGCAACTTCAATATGAACAGCCCGTATGGTCAAACAGGTGAAGATTACACCATACCTTTTGACTGTTGACCTTCCACGTTTCACTTCAAAAGGACCAAAGTAGTCCACACCAGTTCTGGTGAATGGCGGCTCATCGGGAAGAAGTCTGTCTCTGGGCAAAGCTGCCATTTGTTGCTGGCCTGTGATACCATGAAGGCGTCGACATGCAGTGCATCGTGACAAGACTCTCCTTATGACAGAGGGAGCATGAGGACCCAATACTTCTGTCGCAGCTGGGACAATACATGATTGCGTCCACTGTGGCCAAGGTTCTTGTGTATGGCCTCAATGATAAGCTCGGTCACTCTGAGGGTTTTAGCCAGTAGCGATGGATGTTTACATTCATGTGGCATGGCAGCCCTATCAAGCCTACCACCCACCTTTAGAAGACCATCTTCAAGAAATGGACAAAGTCTGTATATGTGGCTGGTACTTTTGACGTTCTCACCCCTCTCAAGAGCGGAAAGCTCGTCTGGAAAAGTCTGCTGTTGGTAGTGCCGAACAATCTCCAATTCTGCCTCTTGCAAGTCCTTGAGAGTCAGAGAAGGCTTGCAGGACTTTGTCGTCTGGCTTCTTGTAGTCATCTTGTGTGGCTTGATAGACCCTTTAGCCTTGTTGATGAGGAAGGCCTTCACCCTTAGGATCCAGGCAACGGCCCTTCGAAGACAGAACCAGGAAGAGTAGTGATTCACAAGCTGATCCATCACTGTTGGCTCGCCCTGTATGGTGAGCGAATTAACAGTGGCATTTTTCTTCATTTCTGGGTCTGTGACGGGAAGCACACTAAGACCCGTTGGACTTTGTGGCCAGTTACTTTCTGGCAGGTAGAGGAAAACTGGTCCTCTAACCCATGGAATGTTCTTTATGAACTGTGCCACCTTTTGACCCCTTGAAGCAAAGTCAGCGGGATTCAGGTGTGTGCTGACATGTCGCCATTGATGGGTCCCACTACATCTGAGGATTTCTGCAACTCTGTTGGCTACGAATGTGCGAAATCGTGTGGCTTCATTGTTTATGTATTTCAACACTGCCGTGCTATCAGACCAGAACACAGAATCCTTTAACGGAAGCTGAAGTTCCTTCTGCAAAAGTCTGTCTATGCGGACTGCCATGGTTGCTGCAGTGAGCTCCAACCGCGGTATGGTTGTGAGCTTGAGCGGGGCAACCCTGGCTTTGCCAATGACAAATGAGCAGTGAACCTGGTTAGTTTGATTCACCTGCCGTAGGTATGAGACCACTCCATAACCACCCTCGCTAGCATCACAAAAATGGTGAAGCTGGGCCGAGGTGACCCCCCCAAAGGCGGCTGGTTTGAAGCACCTGTACATTTTAAACATGCTCAATAGATTTAAACCATCAAGCCACTCATGCCACAAATACGCGAAATGTCCGGGGATGATGTCATCCCAGCGCACCTTTAATCTACAAAGCTCCTGTAGCAATTTCTTGGCCTGCAGAACAACAGGCGACACCATGCCCAGCGGATCATATATAGAGCTGACTGTGGATAGAATGTTACGTCTAGTTGGGGGTTTGTCCGGCATGGTGATTTTGAATGTGTAACTATCAGTCTGTACACACCAGTGCATGCCTAAAGCTCTCTCAACAGGAAGGGCATCATGATCGAGATCCAGTTCCTTGATGTCATTTGCTCTTTCCCCATCCGGTATGGCAGCCAAAACTGCCCGACTGTTGGAAATCCATTTTGTTAACTTAAAGCCACCTTGCATACATACTGCTTTAAGTTCGTTATGCAGCTTCACTGCCTGCTCTTCCGTACCAACGGACTTGAGGCAATCATCGACATAGAAGTTTCGCAGTACGGTATCAACTGCTTCGGGGTCGTGTAGTCCTCTGCAGTCCTCAGCAGATCGTCTGAGAGCATAACTTGCGCAGCTCGGTGACGACGTTGCCCCAAAGATATGGACAACCATCTTAAAGTCTGCTAGATCCCCCTCTAAGTTGCCATCAGGCCACCAGAGGAAGCGTAACAAATCGGCATCCTCCTCTGGGACCATGACCTGGTAGAACATGGCTTCTATGTCTGCCATTAAAGCCACCGGTTCTTGACGAAAACGCAACATAACCCCAAGCAAACTGCTGGTAAGATCTGGCCCCTGAAGTAGCTGTTCATTGAGGGACGTCCCTTGATAAGACGCACCGCAATCAAAAACGACACGGATCTTCCGCTTCTTGGGATGGTACACCCCATGGTGCGGGATGTACCAAACCTTTCGGTCCTGTCTAATAAAGTCCTTATCTGGAACCCTCTTGGCATGACCCTTAGCAAACATGTCCTCCATAAATTTGACATATTCTGCATGAAAGGAGGGGTTCTTTTGTAATTTTCTCTTGAGGTTTAAAGCTCGTTGCTCTGCCAGTACTCTGTTGTTCGGCATGGAAACATTTTTATTCTTTAATGGCAAGCCAATGCAGTAATGTCCGTCAACCTTAATTACAGACTGCGTTACACTATCCATAAATTGCAGGTCGTCCCGTGACATGTCCAATTGATCCTCTGTTCTGCTTTCAGGAAAGTCCATTTTAAACTGTTGACACCATAAGTCATCCAACCTGGCCACAGATATGCGATTGGATGCCACAGACCGACTGATGTCGGATGTGAGCCCGTCTCGTAAGGGACCATTAACTGTCCACCCCAACCGTGTACGCACAGCATATGGTCCGTTTCTGATGCTCTTAAGGATTTCCTCCGGCTCCATTGCCATTGGAACATCAGCACCAATCAAAAGCTCTATCCTACTATCGAGCTCTGGAAGCACCACTCCCTGTAAGTGAGGCCACATATTAACATCACACTGCCTAGGAATGTTCGTTTGTTGTGCTGGAATAGTCTGTTGAGTAAACACCTCAGGAAGTTGTATGTATGAGTTACCATCCAACCTGGTCACCTCCAGACCATAAACAACATGGGTGGACACCACTTTGTTATTGCCCATCGTTGCGAGAAGAATGTCTGTTTTACGCCCCTGTAGATTCAACATGTTCATAAGTCTTTCAGTGCAAAAGGTGGCAGTACTACCAGAATCAAGAAAGGCGTACGTTGTAACAACTTTGGACCCTTTAGCTGCCTTTACTTGGACTGGGACTATGGGCAAAATAACGTTTGGAAATCCGGCCCCAGTAACTCCATTCGAACCCCTTGTTCCAACTAACCCATTTGATATGGTGTGCCTTTTGGGAGGTGCTAAATCTGTAGTTACCCTGTCATGGCTCTTGCTGTGCAGAACCGTAGGATGAAGTGCAAAGCATGTATCACATTTCAATCTTTCACAACATTGCTTGACCATGTGGCCTAGTTTTAAACAACCAAAACAAAGCTTCTTTTCTCTTACAAAGTCTATTTTGTCTTTATTCATTGAGCGTCCCATTTTTCTACATTCAGCCATATTGTGATTCCCATTGCAAAACAAACAAGGCTTGGAATGGGCATCATAATGGGAGGGGTTTGAGAGTCCTATTGGCAGTATTTTCGGAACAACGTTGCCCACATTTGTACTGCTTGGCATGGCCACTGTGGTGAATGTCGACCTAGACCTTCTCTCGGCAACGGGCTGGGCCAGATTAGGATATTGGGAAGTACCGCCTTTCAGTTCCCCAAACATTGGATGCAGAGACATCTTGGCTTGTGTATTAACAAAGTCCACGAGGTCTTTAAACTTCGGCCTTCTGTCTCGCTTTTCCTGTAGGTCGAAGGCAAACCCACGCCACCTTTCTCTTAACTTATAGGGCAGCTTGTTGACGACTGACCGCATATTTGTCACACTGTTCATTTCTTCCACAAAGTCCATCTCGGCCACTGCATTGTTGCAACCGGTGAGGAACAATGCAAAGGCATTCAGAGCGTCACCATCATCTGGCCTGATTGTGGGCCAGGCTAGGGCCTTGTTGATGTAAGCAACAGCCACATTATAGTCTCGACCAAAATGTTCTTTGAGCAACTTCTTGGCCGTTCTATACCCCAGCTCTGGTTCCATATGCATGCAGCTACGGATTAAGTTCTTGGGCTGTCCACTGGTGTATTGGTCCAGCAGGTACAGTCTGTCCTCATAGCTATCAGTTTTATGCTCCACACCGTGTTCAAAGGCTCTCTCGAACAGTCTGAAGTCCAGTGGGTCCCCCTTAAATATGGGTATAGTCTGGGGCGGCAGCGTTATTAGTCTCTGCTGCCTCACCAAATACTCTGTGATGTCGTTTTGGCGGTGAAGTACAGTGAGCAGAGCGTCTGGACTATTCTCTCTTTGGCCGGTTGTGGAATAGGCCGGGTCGCTTATGGAGTCACTGTAGCGCTGTCCTGCGAGCTGGCGTGTACTTGGGGTGACGGAAGGCCGGAACAAACTGGGGTGCGGCGTCGGGAGGCCGGAACAACTGGGGTGCGGCGGGGAGGCCGGAACAACTGGGGTGCGGCGTCGGGAGGCCGGAACAACTGGGGTGCGGCGTCGGGAGGCCGGAACAACTGGGGTGCGGCGTCGGGAGGCCGGAACAACTGGGGTGCGGCGTCGGGAGGCCGGAACAACTGGGGTGCGGCGTCGGGAGGCCGGAACAACTGGGGTGCGGCGTCGGGAGGCCGGAACAACTGGGGTGCGGCGTCGGGAGGCCGGAACAACTGGGGTGCGGCGTCGGGAGGCCGGAACAACTGGGGTGCGGCGTCGGGAGGCCGGAACAACTGGGGTGCGGCGTCGGGAGGCCGGAACAACTGGGGTGCGGCGTCGGGAGGCCGGAACAACTGGGGTGCGGCGTCAGGAGGCCGGAACATGGGGAGCGGCGTCGGAAGGCCGGAACTGGGGAGCGGCGTCGGAAGGCCGGAACTGGGGAGCGGCGTCGGAAGGCCGGAACTGGGGAGCGGCGTCGGAAGGCCGGAACTGGGGAGCGGCGTCGGAAGGCCGGAACTGGGGAGCGGCGTCGGAAGGCCGGAACTGGGGAGCGGCGTCGGAAGGGCGGAACTGGGGAGCGGCGTCGGAAGGCCGGAACTGGGGAGCGGCGTCGGAAGGCCGGAACTGGGGAGCGGCGTCGGAAGGCCGGAACTGGGGAGCGGCGTCGGAAGGCCGGAACTGGGGAGCGGCGTCAGGCTGCGGGGACAGAGGTGCGGCGACCACAGGCTGCGGGGACTGGGGTGCGGTGTCAGACGGCCGGAACTGGGGAGCGGCGTCAGGCTGCGGGGACTGAGGTGTGGTGACCACAGGCTGCGGGGACTGGGGTGCGGTGTCAGAAGGCCGGAACTGGGGAGCGGCGTCAGAAGGCCGGAACTGGGGAGCGGCGTCAGGTTGCGGGGACTGAGGTGTGGCGACCACAGGCTGCGGGGACTGGGGTGCGGCGACTACAGACCCATTATGCATGTCCAAAACCCTCAGTTTAGCTTGGGTAGTGGCCAAGGCAAGCTTTAGCTCCAAGTCCTCTTTGTCAGCCCGTATACGCATCTCCTGGAACTCAATCTCCTGTCTCTCCTTTAACACCGCTGCCTGCGCCGAGAGCGCGGCCTCTTCCAGTTCAGCCTTTAGGCGTTCCACGGAAGCTTGGGAATGTACAGAGCTGCATCTGGAATATTTTGTCCTTCGGGAACCAGACTCAGATACGCTGTCTTTGGGCCGCACCATTGCATCCATCTTTGATGAATCTTCCATCCGTTTACCCACGTCTTTTATCCAAAAGTCCACTTCTTCAATGAAATCATAAAATGCGGCTTCTTTGGGCATATACCAGTTCTCTTGGTCATACTTCTGGTTCTCATCAAGTCCCAATGCATTATATTGATCTTTGACCATATTATTTGCCTCTTGGAAGTTAGCAAATTCAGTGTTAAATTCTTGAGTGAACTTCTTCTGCACCACATCAATATTACTGTCATTATCCATAAACTGCAGCAACTCATTCTTCTTCATTGTGAGTTGACTTAGCTTACCTCTTCTGTTATTGATTTTCCTCTGAAGTGAGTCTTCCATGGCCCGAAGAGTTGGCTTTGGGGCCCGCTTCTGCAGTGTGGTATTCTCATCCATTGTCCAGAGAAAGAAAGAGTCCAAGTGTAGTCAACGCGGTTATTTTCCACTAATGTATGGTCCAAAACATGCAACAGCCTAATGTGGTGGATATTGACCCACGCGTGTAAAAACTTAAGAAAAACTGAGAAAATTAAAGCTCTTTGTTATTTATTTTCAAAGGAAAAACACTGCAAACAATACAACACGGTGGAAAATATTAAAGGCTCCTCCACCTACACTGTCACAAAATCAAAAAGAACACAGGTGTGCTAATAACCAGAACAGGTGCCATGATGAGCCTGAGCCACAGCAGCCACAGCACCATCCAGTGGCAAAAAACAGAAGAGCAGCATGGGCTATACACGAATTCTTCAAAGATATACATTTAAACTGGTGTATTTTGATGTGAAATTACAACCAGTGGATTAAGCAACTTGTCAACTCTTTGACAAAATATTAGTGAGAGTAGTTCATCTGCATCATTGGCTTTACTTGAGGCGAGATGAGGCGTTGTCCTTTGGCTCTGTCCTCGTCAAAATATCGCAAAAGGACATTCAAAATTCTGTCCACATTTGTTTGTGGACTCTCAATGTTTAAGAAAAAGGTTTCCCTATCAACTTGGTGCTAGTGCACAGCGCAGTTTTATCAACTGCAAATGATTAATGATAATTAAATCTACCAGCGGTAGTGATGGTTCTGAACGACAGGTTATTTTCTGCGATAAAGCCACAGATAGTTTTAGGTCACAGACACAGTCCACCAGAGCAAGCCTAGTCTCAGTTGTCGCTGAATCTGATGCACCAGGTAAAGAAGTGTGGGAAAGTGCACGGACAGCTGCCAAGTGCGCAGTTTTGAGCTGGTGGTGAATCCAAAGCTGTTTTCTCATTACTCCCATATAAAAAAATAATAATAGCGAAGTACGAACAAGCACCGGACACCTTTATCTTTTTGCACCATGAAGCAACAGAATCCCATCGTCTCCACCTCATCCAGCCATGCCCACCTCCATTTATTTTTCACTCCGTTATCAACAGCAACTTATACAGCTCCTTCTTCCATAAACAACGAGTGGGGCGGCTGCGGCTGTAAAGTGCCAAACTGCCGTTGTGTCCTTAGGCAAGACACTTCACCCCCATTGCCTAGAATGAGTCTGGTGTGTGTGTGTGAATGGTTGGTGGTGATCGGAGGGGCCGATGGCACATACTGGTTGCCTCGCTTCTGTCAGTGTGCCCCAGGGCAGCTGTGGCTACAGCAGTAGTTTATCACCACCGTGTATGGAGTGAATGAATACATAGTTCCCACAGACCAATGAATGTCACATGACCTCCTCGGAGACGCCATCTTTGATGGCACGCTGCTGTGTTTGTGCATTCCATTAAACAGAAGAATGAGAATAAATGTAGATATTCAAACGCAAATTGGAAAAAAAGGGCAACTTTTGAGCAAATAATTGTATATTAATACAATGGCACCACAGTTTAACGTGCTACGGACATGTTTTACATATTTGATCAAATTATGCAGCAAAAATTAACAAGCAATGCAAACATTTCTCAAAAACTTTAGATTTAATACCAGTTGGAGCTCCATTTAATTATTTTAATTATATTAACAATTAATTTAATTAATGCTAATGCCACACGGACACTCTGGATTGCTGTTATTGTTTATTTCCGCGTTTTTGACCGTATGTTTTGGTGAATGGTGGGCAACTGATTTTTCCAGGCGTAAAGAGCAGTTTATTTTATGACACAGATCTTTTTACAGAAGCAATGCTGTTTGTGAACATTGTTTTAGCCCACCATAGAACTATTATTATCTATTTAATACATTTACGTTGCCCTCGAGAGCCTCGGACGCGACACCGATCCTCCTCATAATAAAGTAATCTAACGCTAAATAATGAAACTCTCAAGTTACCAGCTATCAGCATACACAAGTTAGTACTGAGTAAATTACGTCTGTCAACACATTATAAGATACGATACGTACCTGACACAAAGTGCTCCGAGCATATTCTTGCGTGTTTTGAGGGAGTTTCTTGCCTGTTTATCTTCGCAAGCCATAACCTCCGTGGTTGTTCTGACAAAAGCTTAGTCTTCTCACATTCATGAAGTCTAATGATGGGTATACTGTAAAATCCAAGTTTAACGGAACCTCCGGCACGATTTGAACATCCATTGACCCAGCAGGAGATGACCATTTTCAACTTTATCACGACATTAACACGTTTCAGCTTCTTTTTCTATTGTTTTGCCCACAGAATGCCAACACAAATGGCGCCGGGTCGGCAAATCCCCGTATGTAGTGACGTCATGTGGGAACTATGTATAATGACACATGTGAAGCGTCTTTGAGTGTCCAAAAAAGCGCTATATAAAACCGATGCATTATTATTATTATCATTATTATCCATGATTGTGATTGTGCGTGCATGCTAGGCTAGCTTTGATGAATGAATATAAGACCTGCTAACACACACCTTTCTTCAGCGAGTTTCATCCGTTCGCTCTCGTTGATTGGCTCTTTTTATCACGCAGTTTTGCATGGGGATCGCCACCAAGATATTATCAAAAGCTCACCAAGACATGCTTGTCCCCATTCCCAGTCACAGCAAAGTACATATTGTACATTCCGTTAAATAAAAAAGCATTGCGTTTGGTAAACGTTAATTATGTCCTACCTTTCCTCTGATAACGCGCCCAGTTTACCGGTCCGCGGGCTGCTGGCTGTTATTGCTCCGTTCGGGATTACATTTTCCTTGTCCTCTTCTCCTTTTCAAAAGCTCCGTGCACTTTTCAGAAACTTTCACCTCCGTGTTACCATCGCTAACTTGGCTACGTCCCATTGCCTTGAATCATTTACGGAGCGCTCATGTAGCTAGCCACGGCACGTTCAAGGCCCACTCGTTACTTTTTATTTCTATATACATATAAATACAATTATATTCAAATTATTAATATATATCTAGATATATACAACAGATTCACACGTATTACTATATATTTTGTTATAATTAACCATTTCATTGTGTGTATTATATTATTATTATATATTTTGTTTCTTTTTCAGACCAATTTCATTTGACGGAAATCCGTCACTTAGACGGAACTCTTTAATCCCTGCGCTATACACATGCAATCCTTTCATACTATACATCAGGGGTCACCAACCTTTTTGAAACCAAGAGCTACTTCTCCGGTACTGATTAATGCGAAGGGCTACCAGTTTGTTACACAATTACATAAATTGCCAGAAAAAGCCAATTTGCTCAATTTACTTTTAACTCTGTTCATATTAATAATTAATGATATTTATCTTTGTGGAAACACTGATCATCTTAACGATTTCTCACAATAAATATATATAGAAACAGATAAATATCAATATGCAACATTTTTCAAATTGAACATTTTCAAACGATCACTTCTTGTGAAATCACAATATCCCATTTTAACCAACTAGCCACTAAAATTTTTTAACAAATCATGAATAACTTTGCACCATGTTTATACAAATAATAACTCATGTAAAATACAAAAGTCAACTCTCGTCACACGTGATGGTGATCTCACAGGAGTTTAGAAACCAAAGCAGTCCCATTTACGCTGCTACTTTCTCCTCTTCAGAACAAAAACAACAGTGAAGCTGTTTGAGATCATTACATGTGTTTCTACTGTAGGTTTATGTGACAGTTCTAAACTCATCGTTTCAACTCATTTAACTCTGATGTTGTGAATAAAGACACAGTTCTTGTTGGAAACATAGTTATTATTAAAGTGTATTCAGCACAAACAGATAATCAATAAGTGGTAAATATCTGAGAAAAACACGAACTATAAGTGCAGTAGGAATGCAACAGACGCGATAAGCTACAACGCAAACAAGACAGGAACAGTGCAAAAGAAACAACTGCACAGTTTATAAGTTATATCAGGCTCTGCCATGAGACCAAACTACTTTTCCTTCGGTTCCTTCGAAGCACAAAGCGGTCTGCTCCGAAGTGCCTCGTCCGTGCTCCCTGCAGCCGCTCCATGCTTCCGTCCAAAACACACACACGAACCAATCACAGCGGAGCTCCTCTCACACACGGACCAATCACAGCGGAGCTTGTCTGCGGCGTTGGCCGCGTAGTATTCGAGGCATGGATGTATTATATTAACTGGATAGGGTATTACTAGCTTGTAGCTGAATAACTCACGTGCTCAGGGGATTCTCGCGGTACTGCAGACTGAACCAGACTAAATTCACGTGGGCCACCCAGAAATTTTCCCCATAGAACTCAATGCATATTAAAACAGCTCAACCTCAGCTGACAGAGAACCTACAGCTTTAATAAAGATCGGATTTTGTGGGGATTTTAGTGTCCCTTGTCATCCTGAACTTTTTTTCTTCTTAAATCCTTCGGTTTTGTTTAAATCCACACTTTAGTGCCACAAACTCTGCTCCTCTGGCTCTCGCTCTAACTCCCGCTCTGATGAACTGTTCTGATTGGTCAGAGCGCGGCCGAGCCCCTCTGTGCACGTGCGTGAGACCTGGTGTGAGACCCACACACCAGGTCTTGCGTGTTTGGCGCAACGCATTATGGGAGATCATCCACTGCGCAGAACCGGGAGGACCAGACGATGCCCAAATACAGGCGAGTTTCCCATAGATCTTTGCGAGTTTCAGGCAACTTCCGCTAATCTTTCAGCCCCCATGCTGTCACAAAGCGCCACTGAGCACAACCATTCATTTGAATAGGGCGCCATCTTGGATCGCCGGGGCTTGATTCGAGGGTGCGTGGCAGGCTACGTAAGGGCCTTGATGTGATCCACGCGTTGCGCAAGTGACGTCACGTCACCTCCGTAAGCTCCGCGCAGCGCACTAGGCTTGAGTGCTACTATTTGAGCTATTTTTAGAACAGGCCAGCGGGCGACTCATCTGGTCCTTACGGGCGACCTGGTGCCCGCGGGCACCGCGTTGGTGACCCCTGCTATACATAGTTCCCACAGACCAATGAATGTCACATGACCTCCTCGGAGACGCCATCTTTGATGGCACGCTGCTGTGTTTGTGCATTCCATTAAACAGAAGAATGAGAATAAATGTAGATATTCAAACGCAAATTGGAAAAAAAGGGCAACTTTTGAGCAAATAATTGTATATTAATACAATGGCACCACAGTTTAACGTGCTACGGACATGTTTTACATATTTGATCAAATTATGCAGCAAAAATTAACAAGCAATGCAAACATTTCTCAAAAACTTTAGATTTAATACCAGTTGGAGCTCCATTTAATTATTTTAATTATATTAACAATTCATTTAATTAATGCTAATGCCACACGGACACCCTGGATTGCTGTTATTGTTTATTTCCGCGTTTTTGACCGTATGTTTTGGTGAATGGTGGGCAACTGATTTTTCCAGGCGTAAAGAGCAGTTTATTTTATGACACAGATCTTTTTACAGAAGCAATGCTGTTTGTGAACATTGTTTTAGCCCACCATAGAACTATTATTATCTATTTAATACATTTACGTTGCCCTCGAGAGCCTCGGACGCGACACCGATCCTCCTCATAATAAAGTAATCTAACGCTAAATAATGAAACTCTCAAGTTACCAGCTATCAGCATACACAAGTTAGTACTGAGTAAATTACGTCTGTCAACACATTATAAGATACGATACGTACCTGACACAAAGTGCTCCGAGCATATTCTTGCGTGTTTTGAGGGAGTTTCTTGCCTGTTTATCTTCGCAAGCCATAACCTCCGTGGTTGTTCTGACAAAAGCTTAGTCTTCTCACATTCATGAAGTCTAATGATGGGTATACTGTAAAATCCAAGTTTAACGGAACCTCCGGCACGATTTGAACATCCATTGACCCAGCAGGAGATGACCATTTTCAACTTTATCACGACATTAACACGTTTCAGCTTCTTTTTCTATTGTTTTGCCCACAGAATGCCAACACAAATGGAGCCGGGTCGGCAAATCCCCGTATGTAGTGACGTCATGTGGGTACTATGTATTGGTAGAACACACTTGAACCTTTTTTCAAATGACAGCAATCATTATTTATTTATATATATATTAAAAAAAAAAAAAAAAAAAAAAAGTGATGTTTTTTTTTTTTTTCCTCACGCCGGATTTCCGGAAAACTTTAAGCCCTGAACCTATATCTGAGCGGTGTGTTAGGTTGAGAGAAGAGCGGTCACTTACATACTGTCCAAACAGTCTGGAGGCTGTTTGAGGCGGTTCCCTTGTCTCAGGTAATCATAGATCTCACTGTTCTCCACTCCAGGGTATGGCGTCTGCCCCCTAGTGGCTATTTCCCACATGGTCACTCCGAACGACCACTGAAGACATAGTGTAGCATGAGTAAATACAATCAAAGTGAAAGCACAAAAAATTGATATATTTCATGACACTTACAACGTCACTTTTGGTGGTGTAGACTCGGTCAGCCAAACTTTCAATCGCGATCCATTTCACCGGCATTTTTGAGATCCTTCCCTGTCTGTAGTAATCGCCATTGTAGATCTTTTTAGAAAGACCGAAGTCTGCCACACAAACATTCATGTTCTCGTTTAACCTAAAACAGAGAAACAATCATTAGTGAAATAGGACTCAGAAATCTAGCCACACTGTATGTAATTTATGTCATATATACAGTACAGTATAGCCACAGTATTACTACTTGTAATACAGTTGTAATTTTGTAATATCTGTGTGTTTCTGGTAATAATATTGCCAAGAGAGCATAAATGTATTAAACTATTAGGAACTGGCATTATGTTTTTAATCCTAAACTGGTTTGTGTTTGCTTTTTAGTCATCTTTGCTTGTATACCGTGGGCGGCACGGTGGCTGAGTGGATAGCACTCTCGCCTCTCAGCAAGAAGGTCCTGGGTTCGAATCCCAGTCGGACCAGGGCCTTTCTGAGTGGAGTTTGCATGTTCTCCCCGTGTCTGCGTAGGTTTCCTCCGGGTACTCCCCTAGCACTAAAAATGTGTCCAATAGTTCTAGCATGCGCCTCCTGTACTGGCGACCCCGCTCCCATCTCTGTGTGGAGTGAGAGACAAATGCCCAAAAATTAACAATTGTAAACCGCTTTGAGACTCAGATCTGCAGTGAAAAGGCGGTATATAAATAAAGATTACTTACTACTACTACTACTACTATTTAGCTGGGGTATTTGTATATGAAGGAAAATGAGCTGAAACTTTCTCTTTTAAATATACAATGTATCACTCATGTTTCAATTTAACGTTATGATTTGAATGACTACAAATACACTTGCCTCTATTATAACTTATAACTTTACCAACACCATACACAATTATAGTGAGATTATGTACATTTGGAAATAATCTTTTTAAGTGCAGCTTGTCTTGAACTTGTTTTCTTTAGCTCTAACTATATTCAGCACATGCAACACATCACATCTGAACTTTTGGAGGAAGTGAAACAGCCGCTTACATGCAGTTACGAGCCGCCAGGTCTCTGTGGATAAAGTTCTTGTTACTGAGATACTCCATTCCTCGGGCAATGTCGGTCATAAACTTCACGAGCATCTGAGAGGGAAGGTACTGCAGGACAAAGCAGAGAGAAAGAGGTTATTTTGGTACAGATAAAACATGATGTTATATATATTCTCAACAGCAGAGGGCGCCAAAGATGTGCTCAGCGGCCAGAACATGAGCTGGCTGTCCTTTTAAACACAGCTCCTATGGGAAGTTCACAGTGCACTTCTATTGTGTTTCCACACGTTTGCCAAACCCATGGAACACTTGAGTCTTGTTTTGATTAACTCTGTGTATCTTGAGGGTCTCTGCAGGGACTTGCAGCGTAAAACAGTTTTCAGTCCAAAAGTGACTTCACTAACAATACATTGGAACTCGTGCTGAGCTGAAGAGGCCAGTGATGGGTCAGAGTGAGATGATGAGACAGTTTGGAGTCTCAAAGAACAACCACTCAGGACTTGGCATGGTAACGCTAACCCTAACCCTTTAAAGCTGGGGTACCTAACTTGTTTTTGTTTCATAAATAATTTGAAACAAGAGAAAGAGACCACAACATGCTGTTTAAATCACAGTAGAAAGCACGCTATCTATTGCTAACTTGTAATAATGAGCCCTGTGAGTCACTTTTTGACATTTTGGGCTAAGAGCTGATTGGCTGAGCAAGGATGGCCTTCTCGTTTTCACTTTTCTGTCTGAATAAGATGATTTAAAAAGACATACATGTGAAAGGTTGTGATAGAACCAAGCAAAGAACTTTTGCAATAATAGATTTTCATTATTATTATTATGTGGTTTGAAAGTTACATACCCCAGCTTTAATAGTTTATAATTGTCAAATTGGTCAAAAATTGCGACGCCTGGAACGTATAAAAATCAGGGACAAATCAATGGTTTTGGGTACATCGGTTCAAAATGTAGACTTCTCAGTGATAAAGTTGTGATGTCATTAATTCTGTGTATCTTGACGGTCTCTGAAGTGACATAAAACAGTTTATGATCCAAAAGTGACTTCACTGACAATTAGAACTCGTGCTGAGCTGAAGAGGCCTGTGATGGGTCAGAGATGAAGATTCAGTTTGGAGTCTCAAGAAAAACTACATTTGATCCAGGACCTTAAACATTTCATTTCTCTTGATTTTGTCATGTGTTTTTGAACAAAAACCCACATTACATATTTAGAGCTTTGTATGTCCGACTATGCCATTGTTGGTCCCACATACCAATGTTGTGAGGGAAAGTTCATTTAAGAGTAAACGAAAGACTCATTTGTTTAGACTGTCCTTCAAAAAGTAGATGCTTCAATGTCTATGTTTAGAGCACTGCCTCACCTCTCGTTAAATACATTGAGCTGCCTGTATAGCCCGTCTATATACAGTCTGTGTTTACATGTATTAAATGTAAATTAATGTTCTTCTGCTTTAGTTTTTATGCTTTTATTTCTTACAGATAGCTTCATGAAAGACTGGGTGTATAACACAAACTAACATTTTAATATCACAGAAGATCAGTCAAAATGCATTTTTAAAAGCACAAATGGCTTCTAAAAAGTGTGATTATGTCTACACATTCAACCCTTGTCCGTGCCTCCTTTTGCATGAATTACTGCACAATGCGCTGTGGCATTGTTGCAGTACTTTTCCACCGTATTTTTTGAGACATACTGGTTCTTACATCTGTAGATGGTTTGACTAAAACATACACATACTCAGTGTAGAACAGGATACAAAACTCTTAGATTCCAGAAGCAATGGGTGTTTTAAAGGTGATGTCCGCAACTTAAATTGTATTGGAGATTTTGCGGCACGGTGGCTGAGTGGATAGCACTCACGCCTCTCAGCAAGAAGGTCCTGGGTTCGAATCCCGGCCGGACCAAGGCCTTTCTGAGTGGAGTTCGCATGTTCTCCCCGTGTCTGCGTAGGTTTCCTCCGGGTACTCCGATTTCCCCTACCACTAAAAATATGTATAATAGGATTGGCATGCGCCTCCTGTTCGGCGACCCCGCTCCCATCTCTCTGTGGAGTGAGAGGACAAGTGCCCAAAAATAACAATTGTAAACCGCTTTGTGACTCTGGTCTGTGAAAGGCGGTATATAAATAAAGATTACTTACTTACTTACTTACTTACTTATTTTCTGGAGGGAAATTGTTAAAACAATGACAAGGAGCTTTAAGGACTGAGTGATTTCAATCAGGAAGCTCTGAGGGTGAGCTTCGGTGGCTCTAACCACCAACTTTTTTATCTTGTACTGTTGGGACCAATGTGTTGTGTGCTATCTATGTGTTTCTACTACCGCAAAACACATTTCCGCTCGGGAATAATAAAAACAACTTTAACCTTGGAACAAAAATGTAGCAGTAAAAAAGCCACAACGTCGTATGCACGACAAAAACAATGGCTGAATCTATATTCTCTATAAAAAATACCTTCTCCCTTGTCCTTCCCTACCTTCTTGAAATTTTCAGTTTTACTCGACCGTCATTAAATGAGATCTAGAAGGATTTGGTCAACTCTATGAGAAAAAATTACATTTACAGGAGTGAGGCAAAAATTTGTGATTTTGGAAGCAGCCAACAATGGTGCGTATAGACAAGAATAGTAGAAAACTGTATTGTGTGTTTGTCTGAAGCATTCTTGATACACCTGTTGTTTACTTTGGCATATTCTTTTCAAAAAGTTTCTAATAGGACTTGCGCTTATATGCATTCTCTTACAATTTAGGTCAAAAGGTGTATAGGCACGTATACACCCAGCCACCTTTGGATCTCATTCTGCTGACAGAGAACGTTAAACTCGATGAACCCACGGAGAGTGTTGTGTTTGTGCAGTGAGTGTGCGGCTGATGTGGCGGGTTTTTTTTCTCTTCAGGGATGGGACTCACCACGGGACAGTCCCCCAGTCGGGAGTAGAGCAGATAGCTGTGCAGATCGCCGTGCTTCATGTAGGGCAGGATCACCACGGGCGACGGGTAGCCTTCGCTCTCCACCGTCTGCAGACACACACCTGTGCAAACACGCCGAGAGGATGGGGTGAAATTCATCTCCAGGACACAACGCATAAATATATGAGAAGCAAAAGTCTAGATGCACAGAACATATGCTAAAAAGGCGATATAATGTGTTCTAACACTCATCACATAATAGCTCAAATATTTGTCAAAGGAGCACAAAAAAAACAACTCATGGTACAGCTTGTCCTTTAAAGCTGGGGTGCCTAACCTTTCTTTGTTTCATTAATAATACATGTTGTTTGTCCCAAGAGACCACAACACGCTGTTTTAATAAAAATAGAAAGCATGTTATCTATTGCATACTTGTAGTACAGAGACCTATGAGTTGTTCAATGACCTTTTGGGATTTTACTTCTAATGATGTTTTGGGTTAAAATGTTAGAATAAATAAAATTTGGCTGTTTTCCTGAGAAAATAGATTATGTAAAAAGTGGCTTGGTAAATTCATTAAGCTTGATTGCGGCAACTTATTCATAATAATTGAATATCATTTCAGGGGCCACATGAAGTGGAAAAGAAGACCGTGTTATTCACCTAAGAGCCGCATGATGTTAGCGTGCTTAAATCTTACCAAAGGAACAAGCACAAATGACTCTTTCTCATTCCAAGTGAGAATGTTGTCCCATCAAGAAAAATCTCTTTTACAAAAATCAAGATAGATTCGCCTAATTCTTGCATTTGTTGTCATTTCCTTGCAGTGAATGTGCTCTGAAGCTGCTCTCCTTTAAGAATATACAGTACACTCATTTAAGAATTGACTTTAGACTAGTTTAAGACTTTTCCATGTGTCTCTACTTTGTTAGTGTCTAGTGTTTTGCATGATCTCTCTAAATCAGATTGAGCTGCAGTGAACTTCCTTCTCTACAAATATAAATATCTTCTTTGGCAATAATGTTGTAATGGTAAATGTAAAAAGTTCATGATGTCTTCCTCTAATGTTTAAGGCTTCTAAAGTTCTTTCAACATGCTGTATGAGGGACTTTATGTTATTCACCTAAGAGCCTCATGACGTTGGCGTGGTCGAACTCCTTCATGCAGGCCGCTTCACGCAGAAAATCTTCCATTTCGGAGCGTGTGCAGATGGCAACTGAGATGAGACAAGAGTGAGGGTTATTCTTTGGCTTACACGTCCGCGCGATCTCTTCACACAGTCGCTGCCGTTGTTTACAAATCTCAAAGTCAGATTTCTGCCCCTTAGACATCATCGCTTGTCACATTGGAGAGCTGCTTATGAACCAGACAGTCATCCCAAAAAGAAGACGGCCATTGTAGCGCCGTAAAGTCGACTTACTCTTCATCGTCTTCACGGCCACTTTGAGAACAGACTCCTCTTGAGTGAGCAGCCCCTCCATCACGGAGCCAAACTCGCCTAAAAAAAACAAAACCACAAACACATCAAGTACAGTTCACGGCGCGGTTATCATCAGATCTGGTTCACGGGGAAGTGAATTTAAACACCTTATATAGGTTTCTAAAGAACTCAAGCACAAAAGTTACAAAGTACATCTAGTAAAATGGGTCATGGTTCCAAAGTCTAAAAGGTGAAGATATGGCATGTGTGACTTTACTATAAACTGATTGCATAATGTGTTCTGATCCTTCTCATTGACATAGATTTTAAAAATATAGATTTGAATGTAACAAACAATACAATACAATATCTATCTCAGGTGCATGTCTGGACCCGCTTCTCTGCATTGTGTAATCTGGTTATGTTTTTCGCTTGTGAGGATTAATGCTGTACTGTGGAACATTCTGGTCCATAGACATATAATAACGTTTGAAGAAGAAAAGTAGAGAACTTTTAAAGTCCCAGTATGTCTCAAGTTTTAATCTGAAAAATAGACAAATGTGATAGAAAGATGTTCACTTGTTTTTATGGTACTGGTATTTTTTTGGTATTGTAAAATCATATGAAGAATAAGGGGAAGTCGTCTTAATGAATTGTGTCCTAACTGTGAGAAGGCTTATATAGGAAATTGACTCAGATCCTGGAACCTCAAACTTCTTGCCGTTTCTCATGTAAAACTGAAAATAAAAAGAGCAGCTTTCTCTCATTATGCTCCTTGTAAAGAGAACACTCTGCCTAATGACACCACTACAAAAATTTATCAAATACAAGTAATGCTTAAATCGTGCCAATGGGACAAGCTCAAACTACTTCATTCAAGGGCGGTGACAATCTCTTTCTCATTCCAAGTGAGAATTTTGTCCCATTAGGAAAATACTCTTTTAAGACTGACACAACTTAGTAAAATTAAGATAAATTACCCCAATTTTAGCATTTGTTGTCATTTGCAGTGAATGTGCTCTGACGCTGCTCTCCTTTAAAAATAACATTTTAAAAAAAAAGATATTTTTAGTTTATCTATAACTTAGGATTCATGTGTTCAAACCTTGATTTTAGACTTTTTCATGTGTCTCTACATCTTCAGTGTCTTGTGTTCTGCATGATCTCTCTAAAGCAGATTGAGCTGCAGTGAATTTTCTTCTCTACAAAATAAATATCTTCTTTGGCAACAATGTTGTAATTGTAAATGTAAAAAGTTCATTATGTGTTTCTCTTGTGTATTCTTTCAACATGCTGTATAAGGTACTTTTTGTCTTATCTAAAAAGCCGTGTTGGTATTGTAATAAACATATATATCTACGCAGCTAAGTTTTCCACCCACTGTTGCTTTAATATCAACGTAAAAATGGTGATTTATGTGAAAACACAGAGAAGAACGGTCTGTGCTATATTTACAAGCTGCAGTTTATCAGACACTCCTTCACTTACTGATACAACCTCCCTTTCCCAAAAATCACCCGATCTCAAAGACCCCACCTTCTCCCAGGGTCTTTCCCAGAGTCAGCTTGTGTCTGTCCACCATGACGTCCTGCAGCTTTTGCTTGAGCTCGTCACTGATGCCCAGGCTGTTCACTGAAAACAGGATTAGATGTATTTTTAGAGAACCGACTCCAAGCAGGACTTTCCCCAGACCTCAAAACAACACACTTTACATAGTTGTGTCACAAAAAGCGGGGTTTGGGTAAATTACATGATAATGCAATGTCTTCTTTCAATAACACACAATTCATTTTAAGTGGTGTGTAGCATGTTGTGTCCTGGATATCTTTGTTCTGTGTATCACGCCCAAACTGAGCGCTATAAAATCTCTTTTTGGTTTTGAATGCAAGTTATTTCTTTTAACTTTTCTTCCATTTTAACTAATCTCAGGCCCTCATTTATCAATCCAGGGCTGCTAATCACTTTCGCACTTAAGCAAACGCTAAACAGGCCTCTTCTGACATGTATTATACCCGTAACAGTTACAGTATGTGTCGAAAAATCATTTAAATATCAACTTTATCAATGAGAGAATGAACCATATTTTTCAGACAAAATATGTAATTCCAGCTTTCTATCAATTTGTTTTGATTGTTACATAAAAAATTGAGCTGTATCTTTGTTTACTTCACACATCAATACAAATTTAAAACATTTTTTTTTTTGGGTTTCCTTTACTGATCTCTTCATTGCAGCAAATGTTTGTATCCCAAAATTCTTTATTTTGAAAAGAGGGAGTTTTCACAGGCGACTGCAGGGGTAAGGCGTGACCAAAAAGTTTCTATTATTGTTGATCGTGATATTTGAACTTCAAAACATGGGGCAGGCCTCTTCCCTCAAACATGAAATCCTATTCTTTCCAAAACACATCAAAACAACCATGTTTTTTCCATGAACTTTCCCCAATAGTTAGAAATTCTTTAAAGAAATAGTATTGTAAAAGTAGAATGTTCTGTGCTGTCATCACTTTATTAGATTTTTTTTACTTTTGCACACAAGAATGAGCCCTGTGAGTCACTATTTAACACTTTAGGCTCAGAGCTGATTGTCGAAACAACAGCGGTCTTCTCTTTTTCACTTTTCTGTGTGAAAAATCTGACTTAAAGATGCGACAGAGGCCACAAAATACATGCATGTGAAAACTAGTGATAAAACCAAACTGTTTTGACAGCGAGAGACGAGAAATATGCATAATATTACATAATGCAGTTCAAATCTCAGTTGTTTGAAAGTTAGGTACCCCTGCTTTAACCCTGGCTCTGCTCTTAAATATGGGGAGGATTGATAACGCAGAGAGATGAGGTCAGACGATTCGTGGTGAAATCATTTGGATGCAGTGTTTTCACATCTGGACCGGGCTCTGACAGGACCCCGGCCCCGCCCTCTCAGCTGCTGCGCTCCCACTATCAATCAGGCGCGTGCTGGACAACAATTGCGCTCAGTCTGCAGGCATGTTCCGACACATGTTTGCGTGACCAGATATTAGCCTGTGTGTTTGGGCAACACTCGGGGCCTCAGGGATCGCATTTGTGTGGAAGGACTTGTCAACATCAATGCCAGAAATTCCATCTAAATCCCTCGGAGCTGACCTCTTTCCGCCTATTCCCCGAAGCAATTCCTATTCAGACGGTGTGGATGTAATCTACACTTCGGTCTCCTTTTACCAACCACTCATTTAGAAGCCGTTTTTGCCAGTTATTACCTGTACAGGACGTATTTAAGCATATTGAATATCAACTCTGGGGCTTCAATGAAACTTAGATTGTGCAACACTATAAAAACGCGTATAAATAAGGCAATACATGTTTTAAAGAAGTACATTTTGACTGCCTTAAAACAAGATTCACCAATGGGAAAACCGACAATGTCATATTTAAAGAGCAGTAGCAATGTTTTTTTTCTCATTCCAAGAGAGAATTAGCAAAACATTTCTGCTTGTCCCATTGACAAATCCTGTTTTAAAGCGGACACAATTCAAAAATCACATTCATTTTTTACCTCATCAAAGCTATTTTTGCCATTTTTTGAAGTGAATGTGAATAAACAAATAGTGGGAAAGTAATTGCATGGTTGCATGGATTTTTACAAACTGTGAGCCATAATCACCAACACCATAACACATAAAGGCATATACATATCAGTTTGCATGTAAAGAGAGACTTATCCTATCTTAGTTTCACCTTGTAAGTTGAATTACAGAAGTAAATACACTTTTGAACAATGGTCTAAGTTTCACCTGTTCTGCGAAATGGTCATGGTCCCATAAGTAATCTCTTTGAGTGAATTAGCAACTTTTTTATACACTAAATAATTGCATTTGTTGACAGAATACACCTGCTGGTTGCTGTGTAGATTTTCTTTATTTTTGTCTTTTCTTAACATTAATCACCGGTGTATCCACTTTTCCGCAGATAAATAGCCTGGTTACATTAGTTGCTTGTCTCCAATGTAGATGGATGGTTCAATGCTAACACTATTTATTTTCCAGTAATCTTTTTTGACTTACATTTTGGCATTTTTTGCAGTGTATGTGAATACCATAAATAAATGTGGGAAAGAGGATTTGATTTCCTTTTTCTAATTGCACGGTATGGCTGTCATTCTGTCTTTTGTTCCTTCCAACAGAACACACCGGTCTGGAAATGCTAGTCCAACTCGTCTCTGTCACTTTGCATGACAGCAGCAGCAGTAAACTTCTTAAGAGCTGTTCCGAAGACAAGACCGAGCACGCTCCGATGTAACATTTTTGTATCGGAGTGTTTTCAGCCGTAATACGCGAGACAAGTTTCGGCCTGTGTGTTGTGAATCCCCCGTAATGACACATTTCTCTGGTAAAAACACAGTTCCTTTGGTCACATGTGTAGATACTGACAGGACTTACGGGTTGCTTCTGTCGTCCGGCGGCTGTAGGTGCGGCGAGCTCGGTATCGGACCACCAGCTCTCCACTCTCCATCATCGGTTCGAAGGCCTCTCTGCAATTTGGCACAATATACATAAGTTAGCGCAAAGCTACGTTAAAGGGGACGTGACATGCAAACTTTACGATTCATTTTTTAGGTTGTTTTAACTAGGATTTTTTATGCATGCCTTTATATTACATTTATGGACTTTATCAACATTTATGTATTGGGCGTCTGCTCCTTATGAATTAAACTGTTTTGTAAAGTCCTCCAAGATAAAAGCTATTGTGATTTAGGGCTATACAAAAACACATTGAAATGAATCGATTTTGTACTTTTTCTTACTTGTTTTTACCATATACAATGCAAATTCCTACTTTGTCCCTTCCTGTTACTTACAATAAAGACAATTTTGATTGTGATAAATGGTCCTGGTCCTTTACACACTCTCAAGTTTTAGAACGATTCAAGTTAAAGTAGCTCTTCCCTGAACGGCTGATGCCATGACACAATTTCATTTCTGCGCCAATTTTCTTTCCTGAATCTGTGATACATGGATAATTTGATGGCACATTGCACAGCCCTTTGTGTTTGCAGGAGAAAATATCTTCAGATTGCTAACTTGATTGTTGATGTGTCCATTTTTACTATGAAATTGCTTAAAAGAGCTTAGTGCAACTTCCCTAGCACTGATTATGAAAGTGTGATTTTAAAACAATATATATTAAAATGAGCCATGGACATAGATTAACACTACTAGATAGCAGACAGAGGTACACACTAGTCCTACACAGTAAACACACACACATACACACTCTCCAGTTATTCTGATAGAACTGGTGTTTATTTATTTATTTTTTACAATAACTCATTTCAGATACAAAGTCCAATTGCCCAACTGTGTATTTACCAAAACGTTATTTATCACTTGAGGGAATATTGTTGAGTCTATAAACACAGCTGAAGAGTCCATAATTCACAAAATTAGTGTTGGTTTGTCAAACCAGATGTTTCCTATACTGTCCAACTACTTCAGAATGCATGCAGAATTGAGGAGAAGAACGCTAAAACTGTAGATTTTAGCTTCGGCTCCTGGAGCAGAGGGCACATACCCGAATCGTGTCTCTTTTCGCCGCAGCTTGGCCACATACACAGCCATGAGCACAGCTATGGACACAGCTCCTGCCACGGCCATCACCACATACCACCAGTGCCAGGAAAAGGCCGGGGGCGAAGATCCACCTGAGGGAGGAGTGGTGACGGCTTGTTAACCAGAAAACAGGATATAGTGTAATGCTAGAGTATTTATGTACAAGAGATGTACTTATTCAGCCAGACGTAGAGGTGGAGCGGAAAGGCTTGATAATGACACCAGACAAAAAACCAAAGAAATGATGGTAAATTTTCATTTTGGAAACGAGAAACTGTACCACTGTCCTCTACAGTAGATCTCATCCCTGGACAACTTAAAATAAAATCAAATAAATGTAATTCTAAAGTGTTCTACCTGCTCCCTGCTGGCTTTGCCCCTGCTAGAAAAGGAGAATTCTTACACAAGTTGGCTCTCCTTGCCGTAATTATGACCTGTGACTTAGCCTGGTGAAGGCATTTGTATATTTTAAGTAAATGGAAAAGTTTAATGTCATACCCTCATACAGTACATTTTGATGGATCATAGACTGTAGAAGGAGTGGACAAACCAAGTGTTGACATTACTTATATTTGCCTTATGGCAGAAGAAGCCGATTAGAGCTATCTGCAGAGTTTGTGGATGGCAACGACCTAGCAACCAAAGAGCCAATCGGGAGTCAGCACTTCCCTATCGGCTTCATAACAGCTAGAGAGTTAGCAATATCCATTCTACTGTATATAGATTCTATGATTTTAAGCAAAAAGTAGACTCCGAACAGGAAAAATGGGTAGTACTCCTTTAAAAACAAGAGTCAGCTGGAAAACAAAAAGACAATCTACTTTTTAAAACTCTTTGTAACCTACCACTGTCCTTTAAAATGTGGCTCTGGGTGACTGCTCACTGTCACACATGGTCAAACTAGACGTAAAACTCAGGAGTGCGATTTATAGCGTTGTTATGACTGAATGTGTGTTTATGTGGTGCAGCTGACTTGCTTTTGGTCAGACTGAAGCCAAACTTCACTCTCTAAAAATAGGTGTCCTTGTCCATTGCCGTAAATATGTGCGTAGAGATGTCCCATTGGCCACATTCACTTTATTTTCACTCTCCCACAAATTCCTGTAACTTTCACACCACCCTCCCCCAAACTCCCCCCCATGTCTCCATCAATGTTTTCTTCGTCTCTTGTTGTTTCAATTGTCAGCCTGCCTGTATCAGACTAAGCAAACAAAGATGTTGCACTGTTCTGACCTGCTATAAATATTTATGACACGTCGCCTCATTCAACCCCCCAGTCGCAAGACACCGCCTCCCACCCCGTCCCTTTGAGCATCTTCTCCTTTCTCTCTTCCTTCCTTTTTCGCGGATATTCAGGAAGGAACCAGCAGGCTCAAAGAGGAACAGGGACAGAAAGTAAGAAGGGGAAGTTATGTGGTGAAAAACATTGATCTCACTTCCCAAAGATGTTCAAAGAGGTCAGAGAAGAAGATAGCGGTCAGACTACATAATCACCAAACAAGCACTTTACTCACCTTTCATTCCTTCCATTTCTGTTGAAGTGAAAGAGAAAGAAATCGCATTGTTAACATTTTGAACGTTTGAGAAGTACGATATCTGAACTATGCCAATACTGACCAGGGGAGATGAGCATCAGAGTCTGAGGGGGGGTCCAGGGTCCAGGTCCGGCCCCAGTGTAGGCGCAAACCCGAAAAGTCACATTGGACAGAGGGGCAGAGAGGTTGATAGACAACTCTGTGTCCAGACCAGTGTCCACAGTCAGCTGCAAAGACAGAAGAGTGATTATGATGAAGCCTGACAACACTTACATAACCCCTTTGCATTATAATCCTTTTTTCTAAAAGTAAAATACAAATTTATTTTGAGCTTTGCCAAGATGAGGTCTTGTAGTTTAGGCCTCTGCTGGCTAATTTATCCTAATTGTAAAGTATATTCAATGTAATCTACTCATTTTAACATATTGACATAAGTGGTACTAATCTAAAACACTATAACTGCTGGGTGTTGACTCTGAGACTCATCTGAGGCAAATTGGACTGATAATGTAAAATAACTTTCCAAATTTAAAAGAAATGTGAAAACATAGGTCCAGTATAGAAACTAAAAAAAAGCCGAACGCTGGCAAACACTATAACTGTTGGGTGTTGACTGATCCCCTTTCACAGCGGAGGCAAATTTGACCTAAAATGTAAAATAACTTTTTTCACCAGAATAGAAACTAAAATAGAATAAGGAACTACATTTAAAGTCCATGTTTCTTTTTTAAGAGAAATTAAACATTACAGTAAATTTTGAACCAAAATATCAATGTTTGTTTGTTTGGCTTAAATGTTTGTTTCCAGCTAATGGAGTGATTGGATGCAGTGATTATTACAAACTAGGGCGCATTTCAAAGTGTGCGGCACTAATACGACATTGGCAGCCTGCACTGACCTGTGTCTGGGCCGGGGTGCTGTAGTCCACTAAGTATCCCTGAAGTTCTCCATTGATCTTCCCTGGAGGCTCCTGCCACGACAACAGCACTTCTGTCCCATTGAGAACCGCACTCACATTTTCCGGTGAATTTTCCGGCACTAAAACACAGACAGAAACAACACGTTATAAGTGAGGTGTTTGATTTTAGGCACTGTCTCTTCCTCATGGTAAAAGTGTGGGAGTGGGAGTCTAAGTATAGCAGAGGAGGACACTTCAAGAGTGTTTTGACAGAGGCTGAATCTTTGGGGTGTGACGACAGATACAAGCTCAACACTGGGCACTCTTTGGCTTCATTGTAAGACTAAAAAGGCAAGATCTGAGCTGCACCCTTTTTCTCAAACTCCAATATGTCACTGTCATTTCTGTTTTGTTATGTTGCTGGCAGCGCTCATACTCAGAGGAGATATATCTTTTCTCAAAATAGAGGAATCTGTATTTTTTGGAGCATTTCACTTCAGCCAGAGTTGGGGCCCCTTTGTCTGGTTGTCAACGAGTTTTTTTTTCTTTCTTTCTTTGGAAGATGAATAACTTGCATTTGCTCACAGTCTGAATACAGTGTGAGTTGGTGAAACACGACCGTGCCTTTTTACGGATGATGCTATCAGGAAGCCTTTTCGGAGCTGATTGCTTCCACATGTGGTCCCCGTTCGGTCGGCAGCAACAAAAACAACCACCGTGGCTCGGTCGCCCTGTAGACTTGCCTTGTCTTCTCCGACTAAACCCTTCTTTGCTTTGTGTCCTGCTTTTGTTTCCATCATTTAACGTCACCCTCGAAGTCTCATCAACCCTGTTTATTTAGTCTGAATTGTCTATATACAACCTTGGTTAAGCCAGTGGAGTTTGGCTAAAGTGATGAGAGTGGAACAAAGAGGTTTCTAGAGTATAGTGTAGGCTGGATGAAGGAATTGAAAAATTACATGTGAACCAAAACTTGAAGATAGTCATTTAAGCAATTAATCAAGTATTTTTAACAATTGAGCCTATAATAAATCTATTTCAAACAAAAAAGTTCTGTACATACTTAGTACTATTTGTACTTGATTAGATAAATAATATTTCAATAGTCTTTAAAGATGGGTGCCTATTGCAAATAATCAATGGGACAAGAAGCAAGAAGGAGAACTCAAAAAGTCAAGTGGAGGTAACAAAGTGAATCAAAGTCCACTCCACGACACATTCCCGGCTCTCAGAACAGTTTGATTCTAACACCAGATTTCACATGCAGGTTTTTTTGGCCTCAGAAAAAAGGAAAAAGGAGAGGACCACCCTCACTCACCCAATCAACTCTCAGCCCAAAGTGTGAAATAGTGACTCACAAGAAAAAATATAAGTGTTTTCTAATGAGATGAAGACGGCATGTTATGGTCAGATACTGCATGTTTAGAAGGTTTCAAATAAGGCCGCACATCCCTGTAGTCTGAACTAGCATGCTGGATTAAAAGTTGCAAAAAGTTTCAACGTGGTCTGTAAAAAAAGACCCTCATTGGGAGCAACATAGCTGTGCGGATTTTTCCCTATTTTCACATGGTCAGATATGTTCACAAACTTTCAAGAAACACAGACAGAAGACTTCCTGTTGGACAAAACGTATTATTCATGAAACAACAAAGTGAGTAATCCCAGCTTTAAATGGCCGCAGAGCCATCAGAATGGAAGTATGGCGTATCAAGTCGATTCAAATGATATAGAGTTTGACATTTTAATTATGTGACCATAGAACAAACAAGTAGGACCCTTTTTCAACTTTATAAATAGTTTTCTTTGTCTCCAACAGCTCCAGAAAGAACACATTGGAGAAGATGTAATAACATTAAAAAAAAAAGTACCATGCATATCAAATTAGGCCAAAAATGTTGTGGCTTTGGATTGCTGGTGTAAGTTTTTATTAGTTGTTTGTCTTCCACATTAAAGAGGCTGCCCTAAAGCTGAGAAAACAACACTTCTGGTGACAATTAGCTTAAACACGAGGCGTTAACATCTGCATCCTTCCAAGGCTACCGCTGTACGCCCCCATAATGCACTTCTGTTTATAGGTCCAAGCACAGTGAGGCATTTGTTTTCAGTTAAAATCACTAGAATACAGTTCATATGTGTCAACGTTTATGAAGAAAGGATTATGAGGCCAAATATCTGTGAGTCAGAACTTTCTCAGTAAGTCAAAACAGAGCCATTCCTCAAACTCTTTTCAGATCAGGATCAGTGTCAGTGATTCAATTGTGCTACTAGACTAATTTCAATTATCTGTTAAAAATGTGCAGTGTCTGAGAGGTTTACGACTGTGGTCAGGTTTGAGCTGATAGTAGCATTAAAACAGGATTATCAGAGTGAGTCACAGCCGCTAATGAAGGAGGGAGGGGGACTGATATAATGTAACACATGTGTGGATGATTCATGAAACACCCCAGATCTCTCTCATCCGACTGTAGGAGTCATCAAACTGAGATCTCTGGGATTCAGTGACATTCCATTGTGTTTTTGAATGGTGCACAGTGTGGCCTTAAACTTGGTCTTCACTGACTGGAGAGGTTTCTTTGCTAAAATGTAATATTGTAAAAACATTGTAATCTTGTGGTTTCACTTGTGTCTCTAAAGATATTAATAAGGCATATGGGAGGTTTATTGTGTTATACAGATTTCCACAACACTTATCATTTGGTAAAAGGAGGGGTAGCTGAAGGATTCTGGTTAATTTTCTGGTAAGAAATGTTCCACTGAGACATGCTTCAGATTATGTTGTGTGATGTTTATCACACCTCGACTAAGGCCGGGCCAAATGTAACATATTAAAATACTTTTTGAGTATATCGACCACAATGTAATTGGTCTTTATATTAATATTCCACTTTTCACAGACTGAGAGTCACAAATTGCTGTACAATTGTGATCATTCATCCTCTAACCCCACACACAGTGATGCCGGACCTATTGTACAATTTGAATACACAATATTCAAAAATTGTGGCAAATAATTTATCAAAATTGTGAACATACTTCCAAATGAGTTGGCTGAAGTTCAAGATTCTCATTAAATGAAAAACAAACCCACAAAACCACAGGCATTTGAACTATATACGAACATAATTCAAAGAACAGTTGTTTGGGTTAATTTTGTGGTATTTTGACTCATCTTGACTATAAACAATACACTTGACATTCAAATTCTGCACAGTTTTAAGCCAATACCACCATTTAATCCATTTGTTGATGATTCCCCACTGCTTGAATAGCACGATTTCTGATCGGCACACACAAATTAACCTGATAAAGTGACGATTGATTATAAAAAGTGTAAATAACTTGATGTTTGCTGAGCTAGAGTCTGGGGCTCTGGGATCAGTCGGGCCACGCAGGTCGCCTTGCTTCCTCCCCCCTACAGACTTAAAGCCCCTCCCTCTCCGTCTCTCGCTTTGCTCTCGTTCTTTGGGAAAATAGCTGCACAAGTATTTTTGACAAAGCAGCCCCCTTCCCCCCTGCGACCGTCCCACCATCTTCTCCCTCGTCTCCCACCAACAACCCACTTTTTTCCCACAGCAGCCACTGGGCGCTAAGTAAAGAGAAACAGCGGGTCACAGGAGGTCAAGAAATGTAAGGATGAAGTAATAGCACAAGTAGATCAGATTTTAAGGATTGTGTTTGTTTGAAAAAGCGGGAAAAGAAATTAGTATCTGTCTACGAATACTTTTCCTGCGTTCCTTAAAGTTATGGGAAAGGAGTTGAGAAAAATGCATTTGTGAAGTGAAATATTTAAGTGAAGGAATTGGGGGGGGGGGGGGGGGGCAGCGGATGGGGAAGTCTGTACCAGGATGACACATGCAAGGGATAGTACAGTGTATATATAGTTAATTTAAAGTAAAAAGGGTCTTGGACGAGAGGAATCTTGTGAATGTGAAAGTTTTCAAGTATTTGCCTCCGGGACTCACTAAAATCTTGGTATTTCGTCCTGCAGCAAGCATCCGTTTCAAAGCCCTGAGCAAATGAACTGGTCTTAATCCTGGCCCCATCTATTGCTCTAACCTTTACTTGATTGTACTTAAGGCTGAGGTACCTAACTTTCAAATCACAAACAAATAAGTGTCATAATGGCAGTCTAAGGACCATTTATAGCTGCAAATGTTCTTCATCTTTTTTCCAGTTTTGGACACACAAGATAAGACAATAAAGACAACAAGTAGTGGTAGAAGTGCTATCTTTCTGTTGGGACTGCCCTAGCTTAAAACCATAAATGCAGTTAAATTCAGCTATTTTGGAGAATTCAAAGTATATATATAAAAATTAAATAAAACATCCGTAAACCATTCTTCTCTGAAATCAAACCGAAATAATTAAGGGAAGTTGTACAATGTGTGTTTTTTTGTCTTTGACTGAAATGAAACTTATCTCCAAACTCATGTATCCCGTTACTGCCGTTACTTCTGCTTCTTGTGTTTGTGGGAAATACATATTTGAAAATCCTCATGAACCGCCCGTTGTTCGTCCGGCGACAAATCTTCCCTCATACACTGTTTCCATTTCTGTTCGAGGAGCAATGAGCTGGCATGGAAAAACCCACCTCTGCATATACAAAACCGTTTAGCAGTGGTTCTCTCTCCCTGCATCAACTACACACACACACACACACCGGCTTTAATATTGGACTCTCCAACATTCAGTTTACATTTGAAGTACAGAGACGCTCAGATCTGGCAACGGTCACTGCACCGGCCGGGAAGTAGTGAGTCGTACGGAAGCCTGAATCAGTGTGTCTGTGTTTAAACTGGATTACCTGACTGAAACCACAAAATTGAGCTAGTAGTTTTTTCCCCCACAAAGCTAATATTTGAATGCATCCTGGGCCTGAGCAAGACTTTTTTGATTCAGCAAAATGATGCAAAGCAGTACTTCCTGATTTGCTGAAGAAAAGTTGGGTACTTTAAAGCTGGAGAACCTAACTTTTTTGTTTCATAAATACGTTTTGTCTTGTTTAAGTAACATATTGGGAACAAGACCAAAAACATCTGGTTCGAAAATGTTTTATCTTTTACATACTGAGAGCTGATTGGCTGAGTGGTAGACGGCTAAAGATGTGACAGGAGCCAAATATACAGTACATGTGAAAACTAGAGCTAGGAACTATTAGTTTCATGGATCCAATATATGTTTTTGTGGTTTCAGGTAGGTGCTCCAACTTGAGAACAAGTGGGTATGATAGGCTAGACTTTCATTCTTTTAAAACAAAATTTAAGTGAACATAAAAAAATATTCTTTTTTTTTAATCATTCTTTTTTCTAAGTTTTATTTAACACATCACTGCAAGCGGAGAAAAAAGGCCTAAAAATGAGGCTTAAAAATGAAGTTAAAGAAAAAAAAAGTTTACCGGTCTCACAGAACTAGAATTCTCTTAATACTCTTTTGTTATGTCAAGCATAAGTAAAGTTCCATTAAAGAGTTCTGACAAAGAGAACACAGCAAAATGAACATCCCGGTTATTCTTGAACACAAACTGAACATTTTATCGCAGGAGTGAATGTTCTGTCCTTTGAGCCTCTAATCTGTCAGCCCAAGAATGTGTTGGTTCCATTCTGCCTCAGTACTATATAGTCTTAGTCTTAAGGTTGTTCAATTAGATCCATTATATACCAACACATTAGCAGCCTTTGCAGAACACGGAACACACCAGGCCCGAAAAGACTGGGACCACCACAACGACTGTGCCATGTATCTGGTCGTCACCGAGAAACGTAGATAAAAGCGGCCGAGATTCTCCTCAGCGTAAGATAAGAAAACACTTTAGTTATATTTCCAGACACAGAGTTCAGCCGTGAGCAGCAGATAAACAACACACGTGAAGCTTGTGTCACGCTTCGGTCTGGGACACTGGGACGGAGAGAGAGCCGCCATCGACCCAGAGCTTATGGTTTTTTCACAGAAGAAGCCGTTCAGAGCTAAACTCAAACAGGATACATACATGTGGAGCCAGAATCTTTCATAGCAACTGAAGAGTGACCGTGAAAGTGAATGGAGCCAAAGGCAACAGGAGCTAATGTGCACTGCTATATTTGGCTTCACCAAAGCTCGTGGGTTAAAGCTGGGGTACCTAACTTTAACCCACGAGCTTTTTTTTTTTTCATAAATAGTACAACCTTTTGTTAGATACAATCCAACAATTTTCTGAACAACTTAGATCAACCAACACATTGTCTTAATACTCGGAAAAAATGGAATAGAGTTACTGGGCGACAGTAGCTCAGTTGGTAGAGCATTGGCCATAAGGCCAGAAGGTTGTGGGTTCAATTCCCACCTCTGCACCTTCTCCACCGACTCCCACTGATGACTGCTGTCTTTGTGTCCTTGGGCAAGACACTTAACCCCACTTTGCCCAAAGCCCCCAGCTGAAAGATCAAGGCTATGCTCACACTCAGAGAGCAGCCGTCCTCCTGTGGACTCACCACCTGCAGAGGGTCAGTGAGGGGCTGGTGCTATGAGACTTGGGTGGCATCTCTGACTGCCACCCCCCTGACCCAGAAATGGATTAAAGGGTAGAAAATGGATGGATGGATTGTTACAAAGTTCATTTGTTTCTGTAGTTCAACTGAAAATGCTTTTCTTTTTTTTTTTTTTTTTGGTATTGTATTTTAATCTGTAGCACTTTGAGGTTTTCTGGAAATGTAAGTGTAAAACGTATTATTATTATTATTATTAAAATGTGAAGCCAGTATATGGTATAGTCACATTTTCATAATATTCAAGTTTTCTGATACATAGCATTTTACAAGCTGTGAGACAATTATTTGTTTCCATATATCTCACTTTACGTGTAATCTGTCAATCATAAATTGGTTTCCCATAAATTACATGTTAAATTACAGAAGTGAAATCATTAGAAAATCCAAGTTTCACCAAGTTTCAGAAAACATGTTATAACAGTTATACTTCAGCCTAATCCCTTCGGTCACAACTGCGTTTGTAAATCTATGTTAAAGCATGTACATCACTGACATAAGACACATTGTTTTTGTAACCTTGTCCTTTTTTGAATGCCTTTTTTATGTCAAAAAATAATAATAATTTGCATGACCGAATAAACAGAGAAACATGCTAACTTTTGCATATGTGTGAGTCCTGCAAATTGACGCTTTGGGCTGAGAGTAAAATGAGGTCCAATCTTTTTCTCTTCTTCACTTCAGAACCAAACTGTTTTGAAGGCGAAGAACCAATAATTTTATTACATCATTCCATTATATTGTGGTTTTAAAGTTAGGGACCCCTGCTTTAATACTGTCCATCCCTTTAGCAAACTCCACTCATTTCCTCAAATCCTCAGGTTAAAACTGGATTCACCTGAAGAAATGTGAGTGAAATGTAACCTGCAGCCACACGGCCTGGTCTATAATCTGGGATCTCACCTCCTTCTCTGGTCCTCAGCTCCACCCAGGGGGACCACTCGGAGGGCCCCTGGCTGCTGTGACAGGCTGCCCTCACTGCGTACAGGGTGTGAGGCTCCAGGTCCCCGAGGAGGTAGGCCGCTGGAGGGACGTTCACGTTCTGATTGTGAATCATGTGATCAATCCCAGCTGTCTGTGCGGCATGTTTAGCCTGGAATTATAAACGAAACAACAATTTAGCGATGGCAAAAAGCGAAACAGCTGCAGCAGTTTGGAAATATGAACGATGTCAATTTATGGCCTCGCAATTGAGTTCAGATGTCATTCCTCTATCTGCAATTTTTTGTTTAAAAAGGCTGTGCTGGAATATACATTGGCACAGTTTGATTAGTGATGATAGAGATAGATAGATTGATAGATAGATAGAGATAGATAGATACTTTTTTGATCCCACGATGGAGAATTTCAGGTGTCCAGCAGCAGCAGAAACACATCCATCCATTCAAACAAATATATACATAATTCTAAAAGTAGCAAACAATAGTAATAATAATTATACAAATGATCCAATTTTATCATGTACTATACGGATCCTGATACTTTGGCTTCAATATCCACCTGACACCCCATGATCTGATACAAGTGAATGGACTGAAATCACAGCTAAACTTTTCTTTCAAAATGGAACCAGTTCTGCTTTTTAATATCTAGTATACGTATGCGTTAAAACCCAATGGCATTCAGGGTTAATATCAGTAGAATTAAACTTATAAGGAATCTATGATATTACAATATTCTACAGTTTGTATAACTTGTACCTACTTAGCCTGGCCGTAGCCATCCGTAAACTCCGGTCAATTATTTCCCTACATGTACGAAATGAAATTAGTACGAGGGTGTGGTAAGACCAGGCTAGTACCAACTGGGTGATCCTTGTGTGTTACAGAAAGCTTTTTTTGTTCCCCACAAGTTTTTAACAACTACAATGATTCTCTTTTTACCCTCAAATAATTGCAAACAATGAAAAAAACTAAAAAACAAAGCAAATGTGCACATATCGTAATTATGTGTGTACGCTGAGTTTTAACGCTTTGATTATAACTAGTCAGGTTTGTCAGTATAGTCATTTCTCTATTACCAGTGTTCACGTTTGCCATGACTAATACTGAGTTACTTCAAAAACGTATATATTACTGTAATAGGCAGGGAAAGTTTATTTGTATGGCACAGTACATACACAATGCAAGCTTTCTCCCACCACTGCCTCCTATATTTTCCATGAAGCCCATAAAATGTTCTATTTTGCTCTGTATTTGGCACTTGCTGTGAATCAAATTGTCTGAAAGGGGATTTTAACTTTGCTGTAACTGTAAAAAATAACAATACACAATTTCTGCTTTCAACCTGAGCCAGAACTCAGCAAGGTGCGCTCCAAACACCACTCATCAGCCGCAGATTAGAGCTGGAAAAGTGCTGCCTTTGCATTAGCTTCTGCTGTAAACACATTTAAAAGGGAACATGGGGCAGAAAATCCCTTGAGCAGTTCACAGACCACATAAAAGTTGCAGTTTTGGCCTTTTTTCTTCTTCTGGTTTCATGAGAACAAATAAAGAGGAGTTTAAGTCTTTACACATTGCGAAAAATGATAAAATATGAGGATATATAAGTGTTTTTTTATCTTAATTTGAGTTCTGTTTTAAAACCAGATTTGCCAATGGGACGAGGTATTTAGTCTCATATTCTCATTCCAAGGGAGACATTTCTTCTATCTTTTCAAAGCAAGATAATTTTGCTTGTATTTATGTACTTCTGATTCTTTTGCTTTGTTTTGTTGTTTGTAGTATTGTATTTTAATCTGTAGAACATTGAGGATTCCTGGATATGTAAGGTGCAGTATCTATAAAATGTATTGTTATTATTATTATTTAGCAAAATATTGTTTTAAGGCAGTCAAAATGAACTCAAATTATGATACATTTTTTCCCAAATCTAAGCCATTTTTTGACTTATTTTTCTTGACTTTTTTGCATTGCAGTTACTCACACAAGCTTGTCTGCAGCTAAGCATTTTCTCCTTTGTTAAAGACAGTGGTAGAACCTGCTTTGAGAATAGAGTTTGAAAGAATGGTGCGTAGAGTGGCAGGAGCAGTCGGACAGGTCCATACGAATCATTCCTGCTGCGGTGAATCACAGTCCAAACGTAAACAACCAGCGTGGATAATTCAATCCCAACAGCCATCGCTGAGTCAGACCAACCTGCATTCCCAAAGTGTTACACGTAGAAAAAGAATATGGACGTTTGTTTCAAGCTTAACATTCTTTCTTAATTCCCTTTTCCTCTCACTTGGTGTAAAACTGTCTTTTCAGGAGGCACTCACATTCTTGCAATATTCAAGAATTACTCATGCTGTTAAATATTTGGTTAAAGATTATTGACCAGCGACTGCTTCTTTGACCAAGCTCGACTTAATCAAGCGAAAAGAAAGGGAATTTCTTTGGTTTGTGTGGAAATAAAGCACAGAATACTCTTTGGGCCAGTCCCAAGGTTAAAAAAAACAGCTATTGACTAGAAGCGAGAAGGAAATGAAAAGTGAACAGAGATAGAAGCACGACTGTCACATAATTGCATTTTTGTACAAGCCAAAATCACAATGACAGTTTTCTCAAGGGACTTAACAAAACTGTTTGTCTGCCAATACCAAATTAGACATGCTAATAGTCACTGTATCTCAGTATGGTAAAAACCTCACACAATGTTGATTATAGTTATTTTTACTGCTTAAAAACATGATTTCTCACATTCCGCTGGTTCTTTTTCCAATGTAGATAATACATTTTGAAGGCAAATTGTGAATTGTCTCAATTGTAGAGATTCTACCAAAACTGAGCCAAAAGAACCACTGTGAGGAAGCCAAGAAAAACGCGTTTATCCTCCGTGGGTGAGCAGAGTAACCAAATAGTGTTATCTCCTCTTACGTCGCTTCTTCAGAAAGAGTGAAATGAGTTTTTAATCACAGAAGAATGTTATGACGGGTTTTGACGGGTGTCTCTCTATTGAGACTGGGGCGGCACGGTGGCTGAGTGGTTAGCACACTCCTGGGTTCAAATCCTGGTAGGAACAGGGTCTTTCTGAGTGGAGTTAACATGTGCTCCCCATGCTTGCATAAGTTTCCTCTGGGTGCTCCGGTTTGCCCTTCCACTAAAAACATGTACAATAGCTTTGAATGTAACAAGTGAGTGAAGGCTGGTTAACCTTGGTCTGTAAAATGCGCTATATAAATAAACTTTACTTACTCACTAACAGTATTACTCACTGTACATGCACTACTTTTGCACTTATTTTCAAACATATGGACAAACACTGCTGTTTGTCTGAGTAGTGATGCCAACACTAAACTGTGCGATTAAATAATGTTAAATAAATGTTTCTAGGCTGATACTGAGAATAATGTTAGTCTGATGTTTCTCTTTGTTCAACTTTCTCCAACTTTTCTTTTGTCTACACACAGGACCATTAACATTCATGTTTGCCCCATTTTGGGACCAGCCCCTGTTGTTCCCCAGCTCTGGAGCACTGCGAAAAAGAGTTGAGCCAAGAACCAGAGCGAGAAAGCGAGGAGGGGGCTGTGGAGGTATGAGGGGCAGCTTTATTAGAACCAGATTTTTAAGGGTGGTGCTCTAGTTGTGCCTCGTCCAGGAAAAAAAAAAAATCAGAAGTGAGTTAGCGGCAGAGACAGAGAGAGGGAGTGTCTCTGGGCTGGTCCAGGAGGCCACTTTCCCAAACTGAAACATGATCCAGAGGTACATGGATGAATAAGGGAGGGGCTTCGGAAGAGTTTGGAGAAAAGAAAAGCTTTGTCTTATTCCTTTTAAAAGAAGTTCTCCAAATACCCCTTTTGTATCAGGTAAAACAGCGCGGTGCCATCTGTATTGACCTTTCCCGTTTCCCTGCCATGCTTTGTCTCACCTGGACAGAGCAGTGGATTATGGGATAGTCTCCTCCAAAGCCGGGGGTCCAGGCCACACGGAGGCTGTCCTCAGTGATCTCCACCGCTCTCAGCTCCTTTGGTGGAGATGGCAGCACTAAAGGAAAGAGGAAAAAGACACTTGTGAGGACAAAACGTGACGACAAATAAAGTGTAAACGTAGTCGAGGCATTTACCTGTGATGACACCGGATCCAGAGGTGGCCACGCCCTTTCGGTTATGAGCCTCGCAGGAGAAGGAGCTGGTTCGGTTTAGACCTGAGTGAACACAACATTATTATTAGGTTTGACTGGTCTTCAAGGTATATAGGAGGATTTTCTACTTCCGGGTGGATCAACAAGACTATTGTTCCTTCTAACTGTCAATCATTCTGCTCATATGCGCTCGTCAAATAAGACCAGAGAGTTTTGTTCAAAAAGTGGAAAGTGGTACATCTAGTACATGATCCTCTTTATCTACTGAAAGTTAATCATTTTGACTAAACTCAGGAAAAAAAATCATTAGTTATATAGTGCATTTCACAGATTGTCACACAAAGCGCTATGGTGTAAACACGGTGATGACAGCAGCGAGACCTGTCTCATCAAAGCCTGTCTCACTCACTACATTCAGACCTATTGTATTGTTAACAATTGGGCAAACCTGAGCACCTGGAGGAAACCTACGCAGGCACAGGGAGAATAGGAGAAGGCCTCGTCTGGAGGTGGAATCGAACCCACAACCTTTTGCAAATCGTTGCGCCATCATGTCTCCCAACTCAGAAGCAGATTCAACAAGCTAGTATAGCACCAGTAATTATACAATGATTTTACTATATATATATATATATATATATATATTGATTGGATTATTAGTTTTTAGATGTAAGTGTGGAGTATATAGCAGATTGTAATGACTTAATTTTGCCTCAAAATTTTTTACGTTTTTACAGTGCACCGAGTTAGAGTGAGGTCAACTTATCTGCGTTTGCTCATTTAAATATTTGTCATGGCAACCAGCTGCATTCAACATTTTGAAAAAACTAATTTGACCAAATAAATCATTGTATTTATTTTTTCCAACCGTAATCGACAGGGCCAAGCCAAAGTAGCCCTATATATTCCCTGGGTCAGTCTTAAAAACATTAGTTTTCCCACTAATCGGGTCCATAGTGTGTGTGGCACGGTGGCTGAGTAGACAGCACTCTCACTTCTTGACACAGGGATCCTGGGTTCGAATCCCAGTCGGAACAGGGCCTTTCTGAGTGGAATTTGCATGTTCTCTGTGTCTGCATAGGTTTCCTCCGGGTGCTCCGGTTTACCCTACCCAAGTGATGTTGGTCTGTAAAATGCGCTATATAAATAAACATCATGATGGTTTAATGTGGAGGCTACTTTAAACTCAAAATAGTAAGTTATTGTAGGGGACAGTAATCTGAACTTAAAAAAGTAAGTTTTTACAGACTTGAAATTTCCAGTAACTTGAATTTAAACACTTAGTTGGCAGAACTTGGAGAAACTTAGCTGACACAACTTAATAAGTGTAGTTCTTCAAAACGTGAAAAATTAAGTTAATGCCTTCAACTCAAAAATCTTTCGCAGCTGGTTGCTTGGAAATTTTGAGTTGAACTAACTTTTTCTTTTTTATAGTGTACATTCATTCCTATTTTTTTGGGTAGGGGAACGCCGGATCACCTGGAGGAAACCTACACAGACACAGAACATGCAAACTCCCCACAGAGTCCAGGCTCAATGTCAAAGTTGATCCAACACTTAACCCCTGTCCAATGACCCCTGATGACTGTACAATAACATAGACCCTGGGCAGGCCACATTGACCTTTATCCTGGACTCTTAATTACCTGATTCCAGATAATTCAGATCAATAATAAATGTGTTCTTCTTACTGCCCTCAGTGACTCACAGCTCAGAGAGTCCACTGCTCCTCACCGAGACACGTGACTCCTGTGCTCTGCCCCAGCTCCACACAGAACCACGCAGCTGAAGCACAAATCTGCCATGTGCCACTGAGGACAACATGCCACCATTGTGCTCTTGTCAGGACCCAGCACAGAGAAGCACTGAGTAATGGGAGAGCGCAAAGGGGCGGAAGTGACCACTCACTTATGTGAATCTCAACCCAGGATTACAACACACTGTAGGCTCAGAGTCAAAAGGGCGACCAGTCACACCTCACTGATATGGCTGCAGAGAGTTACTTTTGTTTTTGAATCTGAGTTTTCTCGTGTGCTGAGTTTGGCAGAAAAGTCTATACATGCTCAGGCTGCTTTTGCTTGGACGGGAATTGACACATGGATTCAAAAGTGAGCTGACATTAGGATGCGGAATTGGGTGTGACTGGCAGCTCACAACTCTCCCTAGATGTTTTCCTCATGTGTTTTTCTTGTGCAAACTAGAATACTATTTGGTAAGAATACAGGTGTGTGCTTATAAAACTAAAATATAGACTGATGCTGTGGGAGAATAGGAGAAAAACATCTGCTTTAAGTTACCACGGTTGGCTTATTTAGTACCAGGACATACTCGAGAGGAAATCTCACAGCATGTGCATGTTTTGTACAATGTCTGTATTTTTTATTGATTGTAAATATTTTGTTTTTAAGTTTATAGTCTTTCTTAGTTTGGACTTGTGGTGTGCCATAACAGCTGTTCATTACTGGTCTGTGTGTGTGTTGATTACGGTCAGAGAGGCCTGGTCAGTGCCAGCCTGCTCTTACGACTCAAGCCCTCACTGCTGCTGCATCTTACTCACTCCTTCCCCTCTGACTCATCCTGTGGATCACCACTGGACTTCACAGGAGTCTGTGAGCTGGCAACACAGCTGTGGTTTGCTTTGAGGCACACACAGAATCCTTTACTTCTTCTTTTAGAACGCAAAAGGCAGTATCATGTCTATATGGAGTTATGAAGCTGAAGCAGAAATTTAGACAGGAAGACAGGAAGAACTAAGCTCACAGCGTTCACATGCGGCACACGCCACACGCCAATCCTCACCTGCAGCAATCAGGCACTGTCCGCATCAAGCTTCATATCACCAGGAAGCTCCATCCAAACAGCAGCTTCATTCATGCCACAACCCTCCTCCTCCCCATCTTCGCCTAGTTCCAGGACGGCTCTTTCACCGTTCTCCTAGTTCCCACCACCATGTTTTAGGCCCTAGTGGATTTCGTCTCATAATCTCTTTCCCCTTCTGCAAATGTGCATTGCTCTGCCGGGGTCCAAGCACTAAATACTAACCTCATTCTGTACAGCAACAATAAATGTAATCTCCTCAGAGTCATATGTGTAACTGATGTAGTGTCAGATTACTTGCCAACCAATATACAATTCTAATAATACCCATGTTCGAGTCTCTCCAGATTGAAATCACTTGTCGATTCTGTCAGCTGTACTTACTAATGCACAATAGACACAACACAAAACAGGACTTTACAAGCTCTCTGTTTATATCTATACGCTAAAGCAGGTACCTGTAATATTGAGCGTGGATGGGGACATTGCCACTGGGTCACTTAAGGTGTTGAGGGGGGCCCCGTCCTGCAGCCAGATCACACGCACAGGTTCCGGAGGGCCGTGAGCGACACAGTGAAGGCTCAACGACGCATTGGCCACGATGGACATGGGCTGAGGCTCCACAGAGAAATGAGGCAGTCCTGTAAATATGCATATACAAGGATGTGTTTTTCATGTTTTCATATCCAGCTATGGTTGTGAGTTCAGCCAATAGTTTATCTCACCCTCCAACTGAATGCTGCCCTCGTCGGAAAAGGCCTGTTCCGTTTCAATGAAGACAGCACATTGGTATGAGCCCATATCGGTCAGCTGGACTTTCTCAATCCTGTTTGGGATACAGAGGGGATAAAGAATGTTACACTGAGACTACAAAAGTTCTCAAGCTCACACATCACATTGTATAGTAAATTATACAGTGTACAGAATGGTATTTATTATGTAGAGAAAAGGGCCATGGCTTCTATACTCTGACGTATGGATGTATATTCCATTGCAATCATATCAAAATCACATTCTTAGCTACCTAAAATTGTTAATGCCGAAGACTGCGATTGTTTAGTCTACATCATTTCCTTTAAAAACAGCAGATGATCTGAATGCATACTGTATAAAACTGGTTGTGTTGTGATATAACGATCACTGCAAATGTCAAAGGCTTATAAGACGAAGAGTGTATAGCATAAGGAAGTCATAATGAACGGTATAAACTTTTTACATTTAATAATTAGCTATGAAGAGCCCACATAAGGCAGAATTTATCTTATTTGCAGTGCATTTTGACTGTTTTATCAGGATAGTGGTCCAGTCTTTAACTTGTTGTTTGCTAAAAAAAATCAATAAATAAATAACACAACTTTCACGTCCCAGTTTCCCATCAAATTTGAATTTTCCTGCACATTGAGAAATATTGTAGATTCATAAAAGAAATCACAAATAGGTTATCTGAAAAAATCACTATTAGATGTCAGATAGAATTAGATTATGTTAATTTAATATCAAACAAAATTGCAAAACCATGAAACGACAGTAAATGGGGATTCACTGAACATGAGCTGAACTGAACACACAACAGCAGATTGTCCTCCCACCTGAGTGTGCTCATGATGGTCCAGGTGTGGCTGCCCGTGTGCACCTGGGACTGGGTGGTGTCCGCAAACTGGAGCGCCTCTCCTCCCCGGAGCCACAGCACATCCGGGGGGTCCTCCTCTTCGGCCCCCGCCCCCGTCAGAGTGCACTGCATCATCACAGGCTTCCCCAGAGACGAGATCACAGTGGCCGGGCTGCGCTCAAACTCCAGATCTGTCACAATATCACACGATCCAGGATTACATTGTGTTGAGCCTTTGTTTAGGTTTACAAAATGGGCAAACGGTACATTTTTTTGCAATGTGATTTTTCCCAACATGCATTTTAATGAAGGATGCAGGTAGGAAAATAGAAAACATTTTATGATTAGATATTGTGCATTCATTTTGGACGTTAAACATGATAATGAGAATATACAACTTTGCCATTTCATGTTTTCGAATGTGAAATAATATGTTAATAAATGGTGAAACAAGTATGAAGGGTGAAAAATGGTCAGTGTCATAAGTTTGATTACTGTATGTCTCTCGGTATGATACAAAAATATAAAACAAAATTCATTTACAAGTTGCCTCTCCACTAACATGACTTGTAACTTGTCCTAATTAAGTCATTATTGTATTTATTTATTTATTTGTTTGGAGGATAAGCCCCTAGAGATGAAACATCTCGTTTTCGAGGGGGTCCTCAAAATTGTACAAAAGGACAGATGCAGTAAGGCAGACAGTAGAGCAAACAATATAACATAAAAAAATAAAACATATAAAAAAATTAAAAAAGATACAGACACAAAAGACAAAGGACACACACTCACACACACATTCTGATTGTTGTTAGTATAATGTCTGTTATACATTAACAGGGATTTAAACTAGTATCTATAGTAGCGCAAAACCTTGTATACTCAATAACACTGGCATGGGTTCTGGAGGTGTTGGACAAGAGCATTTTTAAACAGAGGTAGAGAAGTGAGAGAGCGGATGGATGAAGGTAAACTGTTCCAGTCAGAAGGAGCTTTAAATTTAAATGAATGTTTTCCGACTTCTTTCTTAATTCTTGGGACAACAAAGAAACATTGGTTTGCATGGCGCAAACTGTAAGTGGATCGCAGAGGAATCAAATTTTGTTTCAAATAGTCCGGAAAACTTAAATTAATACATTATTATTATTATTATTAAAAATAAACAGCAGACAATGAAGCTAACGTCTGGATGACAGACGTCAGCTTCAACGTTTTGTAACTTCTGAAAACTAGAATTTGTAGATAAGTTAGTTAGTTAGTTAAAAACCTGCACAACACAAGGTACAAATATCAATTATCAAATTAAAAACATGTCACAAGTGTTGGGTGAAGTACAAAAAATGCTCTTTTTTGTTTTGTTTTTTTTCAACCAAAAATTTACCTTTGACAAGTCTGATTTCAGCTCCCAAACCCTAACTATATCAGGCAATTACAAGTATATAATTGACCAAACTATCACACATTCAAATCATTGCATGCACTGAATACATACACAAGTATAGATTTACTATTGTTGTTGTCGTTTATTCAGTGATTTAGGTGTATTTGCCATGTAGTGAAGTTGTATGGCAGCACATAGATGCAGCACTGTCATTCCTGGGCCAGAGTGGAGTTATCTGGTGTCCCTGCTGATAGTGGAGCCGACCTGTGGGACCGCCTGATTGGGGACAAAGGCTTCTTGTTGGCTGCACCCAGCTCAGTGCACAACTCAATATGGTCAAGGCTGCCGCACAAAACATCTGCGGATCTGCTTACGGTGGAAAGATGTTGATGAGACGGTACTACACTTGAGGAAGCAGATTTATCAAGGCACAGGAATTAAATGCACTTGTGGTTTAAAAATGAGGCGCCAAAACCGATGTGTTTCCTAAATTATACAATTAAGATTAAGATTAAGACATCGTTGTGTGTCCCACAGTGGGGAAATTTCAGGTAATTTGTTTATTGCTTTAGAAAGACAAATTTAATGAACAAATCAGGCCACATTGTGCTGTCTTTTTACACAACATTCTCCTGTATTTTTGCAAGAAAAACCCCTCTCTAGTCTATATATCTCTACTTCACTTTTCTGACTGAAATAGCTTCTCTTGTACAGTGGTAGAGGCCCGGAATCATCCGTGTAGTGTTTTTTGAAGTGGGAACTAGTTATTAGATATTATATATGTTTTGCTGCTTTGAGTCTAGTATAGGGGACAAACAGATTTAATACTTTTAGGATGGGACAAGATTTCACAAGATTACATTGTTACAACATTCTGCAAATAAGTGGAATAGGTTCTTCTGAGATTTATTTTTGAAATCTCAAATATGATGATTGTTGCTTTAAATAATTTTCTGAATTATGGCAACATCTCGCATTGTTTTGGAACCTAATCTTATGTTAATCTCATTATGTGGAAAATTCTCTCTTTTCCCATCCATATATAAAGGCTTTTGGTAGAGGTTAGACAACTTATTTCATACTGAAGCAGATAGATGTGTTTTGACTCAAAATCTTGCCAAGTTTCCCCTATCTTTTTAAAACTTTGGTAATGTTTACGAGGTTACTATCTGGTTGGGCATGAGCAGCAGACCAGACAGGTAGTTACCATGGCACCACAAAGAAAACATGGGCCAAAGCTTGTCTCATTACCATGATTGGAAGGATAAGTAGAATATGAGGAAATAAACATCTTTAACTTGTTGAAAGAATGGGTAAAATGTCTTGTGCATGTATTGTCAGTGAATTTATTGACAGTTGAGATAGAAGATTCTTCCTTATAGAGTACTGCAACACTTCCTGTGTATTTTTAATCTTTTTTCCATTTCTTCTTTCACAAACTGTTCACCTAGTTCAAACGTTTACCTGACATCTGCTGATAGATACTGATTTGTTTATGGTATCTAAAGGAAGTGCAACCACTACAATTGGGAAAAACACAATTGAACTGTGTATAATTGCAACAACCCTGGCATCCCAAACCGATTCACGGTCAGAGCAGAAACATCATAACAAAGTGTCTATTAGCAAACTTGCACAGCCATGTTTTGACTCCTGGGGCGAGTACTATATCCTCTGACTGATTTATAGGCCTGTGTTCATAAAGATTTTCTCAAGCTTGTCGTCCCACCTTCTAGTCTGCTTCACTGGCAACCTTTTGAACCCAGACCCCATCATAGTGTGACCCTTGGGGGGGACTCCACGGTAACTCAAGTGACCCAAACACGCACAAACACACACAAATCACTTCTACGGGGGACGAGATTTATGGACTGAACTTACATATTGGTCCAAGTAATTAAATGAGCAAAACAATGAAGCATATTCAAGCATTCCCGTTTGAAGCCTTTGCACTGTCTGCGCGCATGCATAAAAAGTCATTGGCTTCTTTTAAGTTTACACATGACTGGGCGCTTTCAGACAGCAGCATGGCCGTGACTTTGTTGTTTCCAGTGCCACATTGAACAAAAGCGGACCTAGATTCCTTTTTGCGCTCTCTTGATGCGGCTTTCGTATCATAATAGGGCTTGTAGAGCACGACAAAGCCCAGTGAGGTGGAGAGACTAGCCTGACCTGTATTTATGTGTTTTTATGTGTGGTGTAGCAGGCTGCCTATAATGATGGATCTTGGCTTCATCTCCCCCGCTTTTGTCCTGAGCAGCACCCTCGAGCTCCAACACATTCTCTTCCCTTCTGTAGTGCCATAGTGTCTCAGTCTTTGCCCCCATGTTAAATGTCAGTGGACTGGCACATTCCCCAAATACCCAAAACAGTCCATGTTTTTGTCCAATCCCCAGTGCCTTTTCTAACACCACATATTCAGCCTCCCATGCACTTCGCCGCCTTTGCCCTTTCTCCTTTCGCCTCCTTTTCATGCCTTTCTTTCGACCAAGCGCTACACTTTTAGCCACCTCCCCTCCAAAACTTTTTGCGCCCCTACACTTTTGCCCCCTCGCCTCATTCATCATGCGCCTGTTAGTTTGAGTCACCCCGCTCTGACTCAAGCTAAATCACCGCAGAGCACACCCGCTTGCCCTGCACCCTCTCCTCACGCTCCTGGGGCCCCCCGAAACTCATGCAAAAACTCCCAAAAGTCATCCAAGGAAAAAAAAATCGACAGTAAAACGTTCACTTTGAGCTCGTAAATCAAAGGGATGTGCAGTAATCCGGCCATGTCCTGGTCGTACGTCTACAAAAGGCAGAAGGTACAGAGGCCCAGGCAACACAGCTGGGCTATAATGACCAAAACATATGAGCGGACAGATTTTTATTGGTTCTCATTTTAGGACAGAACATGACACACGCTCTATGCCTGAAAATGAAGGAAAGGAATTCATGCAATATGAGAATGTGATTGCAAAAACAATCTAAAAGGCAGTTGAGTATAAGCCACTGGCAGCTTGTTATTGAGTTTTTGCTTAGATTGTATGATATAATGCAATAGGTCAAAATACATGCGCCTTAATAATGTTCTTTGTCCCAATGGAAATAGCCTTGTAAAAGTAAAAGGTTGTGAAAAGTCAGAGTCAAACCACAACATTCTGTCTTTGCCATATTAGAAACCATGTTATCTATTGTAATCCTTGTGTCACTATTTGCCTCTTTAGGCTAAGTTGATTGGCTGAGATACGGTGGTGCTTTCATTTTAACTTTTCTGTCTGAAAAATCTGTGAAAAGATGTGACTGATGATACTGATGAAAAAATACATGCATGTGAAAACAAGAGCTAAACTGTTTTGAGTGCAAGGAACTAGTTACTGTACAGGGATTGCATTATATAGCACAGTTTTACAGCAATTCAACAAATCAAATAATGAGAATAGCTCTATGTTGCCAGCACCATAGGACAGAGCATTATATTTATGTTTTGTGCAGGGCAATGTGGTGATTCAAAGAAGTCAAATTGCATCTCAAAACAGCCACTTTTCTCCATCAGCATTGAGTGAGTGACAGGTAGATTCAGCCAATCACAGTGAAGTGTCTGAAGAAGGCGATGATCGAATTACTGGACACATTATTAGAACTGTCAACAACATAAATGCACCACATATACCTAATTCTCACACCATGATGTAATGAAATCTCAGTTTCTCACAGTGAAAACAGTTTGGGTCGATCATTAATTTTCACATGAATGCATCTTTGGCCTCAGTTACATATTTAGATCATCTTTTTCAGACAGTAAAGTGAAAAAGAGAGGACCACCCTCACTGAGCCAATCAGGTATCAGCCCAACGTGTCAAATAGTGATTCACAAATCACAAGGCTCTTTCATAAGTGTTTTATCTTTATAAAGGTAAAGTCAGTGTGTTACCAGAGGTGTTCATAACATTTTACATTTATGAGACTACATGTTGGAACTACAAACACAAAGTTAGGTACCCCAGCTTTAGGCAGTAGATGAATGGTAACTGTCTGCGGTCTGTTTGTGTTTGTGTATTATGTTCTATTGTTGCTATAATCTTGCATTTACACTGTGTCTACCAGTGTCCTTTGGGCTATATCAAATACATGGATGTATAGATACAAAATATGTAAATAACAACATAAAAAACTGATTTCTCTACAATACACAGGAAGTGTTGCAGTAGTCTCAATTACTGTTACTAATTAACATATTTGTTTTGAAATAGCAAAACAGCAGACTTGACATAATGCTGTGGGTTCAAATAAAGCTGGTTGACCTGATTGTCTCACTCACACCATGGTGACCTTTCCTGCAAGATCTTTCTCTAAAATGTTTATGTTTGTATTCTTTGTTGCTCGTGCTAAGGGGCTCTTTTTACGAGTCTAGAAATCATGTTCCCAGATGCTGAATGCACACAGATGTGGTCTGCTTCTCCACCTCAAAGCAAATTGAATTAATGAGCTGTGAGCTGGAGGGAAAGACAGGCTAATTGCTGTGTATTGTGTTTTTCCCACATAATTCAAGGACAGACAACATAATCAATGACTTTATAATAACTGGGAATGTTACGTCTAAAGCTTCTTACCTGTCAGTGGCTTTACCAGTCCAAAACACAACACGACCAGGCAACATAGCAGTACAGATGCGCGCATGGTTCCACTGGAGGCAAGACGTTGTAGGTACCCAGCCGCGGTCATCTCACAAACATGGCAACTTTAAAGCGCTTTAGAACTTCTCCTTTGACTGAGGGAAATGCGATTATCCACCAGACCGAATCCCTCGTTTCACTTGCCCATAAGAGGAAGGAAAAAAAAGTCTGCGCTGTCTCAATCTTTCCCTCTTACTCTCTGTCAACTTGTCTTTTATCCCAACGCGTGTCACCGCCTTCGCTTGTCAAAAAAGCGTAGAAAAAGTTCAGATAAAGTTGCACGTTTAGCGCCCGTGCGTAATGTTGGCGTAAAGTTTGGTTCCGCGCGTCGTCCAAAGTCTCGCTTCTGCGCCGCTCCGCTCAGACAGACGTACTCCCCTGGCCCTTTATTTTCCCTCTCCTCCTTCAAACAAGATTCAAATTCCTCTACTCGACTTTTCCCTCCGCCTCCCCCTCGTCCTGCTGAGCGTGGATGCTTTTCTTTGAGGATGTGAGTAACCCTGTGGCATGCCGATTGTCCCAGTGCAATCCCCCCATTCGCTTTTTAATTACGCGCGTCCACCTCAGGCAATAAGAGGCTTCGGACATGATATTCCCGCCCCAACAAACAACACGGTCCATTTCCAAACAAATGATATAGGATCATTGGCTGTTTAAGAAGTGGTGCCAGGTGAACACTAGAACTCTCAGAGCAGTCAATTGGACGGCTTTGGAAGTGCAATTACTCAGCTCATGTACATTGTTGGACTAACTTTGTGACTTTTTCGTATATGTGTAACTTATCTCTGTGTCATTATTTTTTCTGAAATCATATTTTATTTTAGAAATGTGAGGAGTTCTGCCTTTCTGCACAATTATTTTCCTGCATTTGAAGTAATATGTTGCATATAGGGAAACTCTGTATACCAAGGCAAGGCAAGTTTATTAATACAGCACAATTCATACACAGGGCAAAAGTGCTGAACAAGAAAAAAAGATAAAAACAATCACACAAGACATGAATCCTAAATAATCAAAGTACATTAAAAAGAGTAAAGATAAAGCCTCAGTTTATATGCATAGCTAAAAGAACCCGGATTTAAACATTGTCAGAGAAGAAGCCTGTCTCACATTTTCAGGAAGACTGTTCCAGATTTATCTGCATAAATCTGAAATGCAGCCTCCCCATGTTTGATCCTGACTCTGGACACCAACATAATAACATTATAAGAGACATACCTCTTAAATCTTTAATTTACTTAAAGATGTATACTGTAAATTTGGGACACCTGCTTGTCTCCATGAAGATGATTGATTTCATTATACATTCAGACACATGCATACTGTGAGCCAAGTGACCTGTAACTGTTGATCTGTTCTTGGTGTTGATGACAAAGCTTTGATGTTAGACACGTCAGACAAAGCAATACCACGGAGATGAGCTGCTGCTGGACCCTCACCGGGAAAGTGGGGATTTCCTGAAGATCAGTGCCTTGTGTGTTGTTAATTTGGTATTAAATTGATGCTTTATTTAGATCCTTGCATGAAAATGTGCCAATGTAAACTTGGACCAGTTTCTCCTCAGCAGGACACTGCTGGCAGTGTTACTTGGCAAATCACTGCTTGTCACCTGCTTTCCTGTTTGAGTTGTTTAAAGGGGGCAGGCTGAACTTGTTAGATAAAAATAACGGCTCTGGAAATGACTCAAATGCAAAGAATGCTGCAGCGTCGACTATTGTACAAACAAACATCATAATTGATAAGCTCTACAATCTGTTCTGATTGTAGAGCTTTGTTTTTATGCTTAATGCTTTGTTTTGCAGATCGGTGTATTTCCCGTGTCAGAGACTGAGGCACAGAGCCAGTGAAGTACCATATACCTTTCACAGGTAATTGATTTGTTGTGTGCATTCCTGCTTTTTTCTGTTCCCATGAAATTAATGGGAGGTGTGTAGGTTGTCTGCTGCAGACCTGAGCATCACTGGCCCTTTAAGAAGTGTCTGTGTGGACAGTGTTGTGTTCCCAGGGTTTTAAATGGAGACAGAAAAGGATTGAGAAAGACCCCATTGTACACACTGGCTTTTCAAAAGGAGCTTGAGCAATAGCACTCTCACTACTTCCAGAGAGAAAGAAACAAGAAAAGAGGGGTGGCCATCACCAAGGGGGTCCTCCTCTCTGCTCCAAAACACTGGATTTTGGGTTGGACTGGGTCCCAGAGAAGAGGTGAGACGAGGGGGAAGGGCTCTGCTGCTCAGCTTATGTTGAGGTCAACCTCTGAAGAACTTGTACCAGGACATTTAGGAGTTAAGGAGTTTAACACAAAATGAATTAAGCCGATCACTGCAAGAAAGAGAAAAATGTGAAGAATGAATTCTTATGTAAGTTTGTGAAGTGTTGAAATGAGAAACAACAGTAACTAAACCATTGTTCTCTCAAACATTTGATTTGAAAACGAAGCGTGAGGCAATGATTATGACGTCACTCTTTTGCTTTGAGCTGGTTGTTTGTATCAGACACAATCAAAACAGTTCAACCTGTTGCTACAGCAAATGAGATGGGAAGACAAGTGACCGCTGAAGGGTGGCCAGAAGGTATATACTGCCATCTGCTGGTGAGAGATCGCATTACACTGTTATGTTCTGATTGGCAGTTATTTTTGTCTTGCTTTACAGTAGCACTAGCCTGGCCATAGCCATCCGTACACTCCGCTCAATAATCATTTCACTGCATGTAACGGTCTGGGTCTGGTCCCTGTGTTTGTGATTACAATCGGTTGTATTTCGACCAGCTACTCAGAGAGCGCGTTGTGGTTGTAGGTCGGTGCCGGTGACGTCAAGAGTTTGCGCCGAACGGGCAGGTTGTAGTTTGACAATGGCGAAGAATGCGATAGTAAAGTAATCCGGTCTGGTTCTATCAAGAAATTGAAGCAGGAGCAAGAGGAATGTTTAGCAAATGTAATTGCTGGTCAAGATTGTGGCGCTACTCCCCACGGGCTCCGTTAGCGGCAAAGGAGATGGCTAGGCTAAATGCTAATGCTAACAACACACTCGGGCGCATTACATACGTCACGGTGAACTAGTGATGGGTCGTGCCGCGTCGGCGCTTCGGGGCGTGAGCCGAGAAATCCCTGAAGTTTTTATCGGAGCGCGGGCCGAAGCCTGAGTTGTTTTAGATGAGTGACGTCACTAATGACGTTTGAAGCCTCGGGAGCACAGGAAATGGAGCGATTCATGAAGTACTGCAGAAGATCCGCTCAAACTGTGTGTTTGTCTTGGTGATTAATGTAGTCAGTGATGGAGAGTACTGTAGTATCAGCTGGTTGGCTCAATTGGTAGGGAAGCAGGGTTGGGACCTGGGAGACCGGGGTTCGAATCTCACCGGGAGTGCGTCGATTTAAATACACGTGAAAGAACTTTGTCAGAAATGTTTTGGTTTTAAACAACTGAACCAACAACTGATGGGGTCACAATCCCAAATGATATCCCCATTTGTGTCACGTCCTTTGAAAAGCACTTACACTTTCAACATGTCTTTTGTCCCATTGGATTTATAACATTGATTTTGACTTGAAAAGCTATAATCATTCATCATTAAATATGTATATAAATATATATCTACATGTGTGTGTGTGTGTGTGTGTGTGTGTATGTGTGTGTGTGTGTGTGTGTGTTAGAGCAGACAACTGTACCAGTTACCAGTACATTATATTTTATTGTCATTTAAAATATATTCATTTTCACTACTGATATTGATCATAATGAAACAGATGAATTAATGGGTCATACACAATCAAATTAAATTTTTTATTTCTGTTACCAGTATTAATTCCTATGCGCAAGAGCCTCACAAACAGTTCAATTGTCAATACAGATTTTGACCAACAGGAGGTTTGTGAGCATATGAAGCATCAAGAAATGAACCTTTTCTCGAACCAATGGATGAAAAGGTTCAACACTTCATGAAGCTTCATCAACCCATCACGAGAGTTAACCCCTCCCACCTGTTCACGGAGCTCAATGGAGAAAATCCAGACCTTAGTATGAAATGAAATTTGTACTAAGGTGTGGTACGACCAGGCTGCAGTAGCACAGACTTTTTCCCTTTGTGGGACATACATGCCTATGGAAGCCCGTTTCCGCCATGTAAAAAAAAAAAAAAGCATACAGAAAGTCAAAATTTTGAGTTTAAAACTCAAAATTACGACTTTTAAAAGTCAAAATTTCGACTTTAAAAGTCAGAATTTCGACTTTAAAAGTCAAAATTACGACTTTAAAAGTCAAAATTTCGACTTTAAAAGTCAAAATTACAAGTTTTCAACTGCGCATGTGCAGTTGAAAACTCGTATGTGTTGTTGTCTGGAACGGTCTCTGGACGTCCTTCACCTGCAGATTATGTGAAGATATTGCTGACAGCGACCACTGCATCCTTGAAGTAGCCAGAAATAATGTTGTTTGATTGATTCTGTAAAACTTTCCTGTTTAAGCCCCTGACCGCGGTCGTAGGACGCAGGGAGGAGCTGTCTTTTTATTTATTTATGTTAAATTCAATTTACATATATACAACATTTAAATCAAACGACTTCTTATTTCGACATAGTAACAAATAATGTGAGCAATACGTTTTTATAATAAATCAAAGGAAAATGAGCCATCGAGACATTCCAATCCAATCTGCTATAGACCACTCTGACCAGACGATGGCGCTGAGAGGGGTCCACACGGAGCGAGTATTTCCACGGCTGAAATGATGCGCTTTCTACGTGTTGAGTACGGGGTTTTATTCATGCATCTATAATGGGTTTATCTATTTCTAACCCTTTTCAAAGACCCTCACTGTTATCTGCGGAGTTATTTCTCCGGTTTGTTGCTAAAAGAGTCGTGGGCTTTATTTTGTCACAATAAAATAATCAGACAAGGTACTTATTCCCTGTATGTCTCTGTGTTCTTGCTCATACGCCAACAACTTCACCACACGCACGCTCCATCAGCTCACCCCCGCGTGCACGCAAACACGTCACATACTCTTCAATGCACTGATCGCAATTCCAAAAGGGTAATAATGTCAGTGCCCGTGACTGTGGTTCTCCTGCCTCTGTCTGTGGTTCACCTGCCTCTGACTGTGGTTCTCCTGCCTCTGTCTGTGGTTCACCTGCCTCTGACTGTGGTTCTCCTGCCTCTGTCTGTGGTTCACCTGCCTCTGTCTGTGGTTTACCTGCCTCTGTCTGTGGTTCTCCTGCCTCTGTCTGTGGTTCTCCTGCCTCTGTCTGTGGTTTACCTGCCTCTGTCTGTGGTTCTCCTGCCTCTGTCTGTGGTTCACCTGCCTCTGTCTGTGGTTTACCTGCCTCTGTCTGTGGTTTACCTGCCTCTGTCTGTGGTTCTCCTGCCTCTGTCTGTGGTTCACCTGCCTCTGTCTGTGGTTTACCTGCCCCTGTCTGTGGTTTACCTGCCTCTGTCTGTGGTTTACCTGCCTCTGTCTGTGGTTCTCCTGCCTCTGTCTGTGGGTTACCTAGCTCTGTCTGTGGTTTACCTGCCTCTGTCTGTGGTTCTCCTGCCTCTGTCTGTGGTTCTCCTGCCTCTGTCTGTGGTTCACCTGCCTCTGTCTGTGGTTTACCTGCCTCTGTCTGTGGTTTACCTGCCTCTGTCTGTGGTTCTCCTGCCTCTGTCTGTGGTTCTCCTGCCTCTGTCTGTGGTTCACCTGCCTCTGTCTGTGGTTTACCTGCCCCTGTCTGTGGTTTACCTGCCTCTGTCTGTGGTTTACCTGCCTCTGTCTGTGGTTCTCCTGCCTCTGTCTGTGGTTTACCTGCCTCTGTCTGTGGTTTACCTGCCTCTGTCTGTGGTTTACCTGCCTCAGTCTGTGGTTTACCTGCCTCTGTCTGTGGTTCTCCTGCCTCTGTCTGTGGTTCACCTGCCTCTGTCTGTGGTTCTCCTGCCTCTGTCTGTGGTTTACCTGCCTCTGTCTGTGGTTTACCTGCCTCTTTCTGCGGACCTCCCTCACTATCCAGTAATCGCAAACGGTCTCTCTGTCAGTCACAATAATATTCACTGCATTTCTGGTGCATCCATCGATAGCCGTGATACTGACCAGATGTCACCAGTTGATGCTCAATGACTTTGAACAGCCGCATGTGTTTTATTATTAATCTTCCACAGTCCGTTTAGGATAAACTAAATAGAGGCTTCTGAAGCGGATTCTAATCATAAACGGAGAGACCGTTTGCATTTTAACGCGATTACTACCACAACATTATTGCTGCTACTTCATGGATGTGGTCACTGTCTGTAGGAAATATCTTCACATAATCTGCAGGTAGAGGATGACCCATGGTCATGGATCTATAACAGGGATGACCAGAGACCGTTCCAGACAACAACACATACGAGTTTTCAACTGCACATGCGCAGTTGAAAACTCGTAATTTTGACTTTTAAAGTCGTAATTTTGTCTTTTAAAGTCGTAATTTTGACTTTTAAAGTCGTAATTTTGACTTTTAAAGTCAAAATTTTGACTTTCTGTAGGCTTTTTTTTTTTTACATGGCGGAAACGGGCTTCCATACATGCCTGCTCTTTTCTAACCTTAGCCATAATTTTTGTAAAAAAGTGGAAAAAAAAAATTATACAAATAAATAACCTCAAACATATACCTATGTATACCTTATTCAGTTCTAAGTTGTGTCTTTGTTGCTCGAAAAATCATAAAGTGTGATTCAAATCCAATCAAATATAACAGACTCTCTCCTCAGTCTGTTATATAATGTCATTTGAATTGTGGCAATGGAGATCTGACACAATATTTAATCCCGTTTAAGTATTTGCCAGGGAGGATATCTCGGACAAAGGAAATCATATCAAGTTGAGGATGAAAAAATGAAATCTCAGTTGTGGATATGAACCGTCCATGTCAACAAGTGTCCAGATGCACGAAAGAATAATAATCTCTGTTTTAATCTGTCCGAGCAGGACGCAAATCAAGAAGCCGTCTAGGGGCATGGATGAACACAAAAGATTAGTGAATGGAAGTTTAACAGAAAAATAAAATAAAATAAAAATGAAAGCACGTCAATGAGAGCTCAAGATTAATGACAATCAAATCAAAATCACTATTTGACCAGATTTGACCACAATTTGGAATTATTTAACTCCTCTGTAAGCAACAGTATATTTTCTCTTGTCAAAGCTTAGGGTGCAACTTTTCAAACTGTGTATTGTTTGTTTTTGTGTCTTTT